ATAAATAAAAATATTAAAATTTTTAAAATTAAATTAAAATATATAAATATATATAATTATTAATTATAATAAAAAATTAAAAAAAAATATATTAACGTTAATTACGTTAAATTTAAAAATATAATAATTAATAGTTTAATTAAAATATTAAATAAAAATAAATTTAAAAGATTTTAAAATTAAATTAATTTAATAAATATTAAAAAATTATTAAATAAAAAAGTAATTAAAATTTTAAATAAAAAAATTTAAAAAAAACGAAATATTTTAAATAAATAAAAAAATTTAATTAAAAAGGAATTATTTCGAAATATTAAATTTATAAAATTAAATTAAAAAAGTTATTTAAAATTATTTTAATTAAATTTATTTAATAGTTTTATTTAAAAAAATATATTAAATTAATTAATTTTACGTAATTTAAAAATAATTTAATTATTTATAATTTTTTATATTTTTATTTATATATTAAAGTTTTATATTTTAAATATATATATAATTTTAAATCTTAATTAAACTATTTAAATAGTTAAAAGTACTTACCTACTTTATGACATAAATTCACCATCTTACGTGTTTGCTTAAAAACTGTGTACGAAGTAAACCAACTTATATCGTATAAACAAAACAAGAAGTTAACATAAAAACTAAAAAGAGTGTTAGTATCGATTATTCAAGGTTGCTTCTATAAGACCATAAAGTCCAACGAAATTCCACACTTACGCTAGTTACATGAGGTACCAGCCAGTTAGGAATTCCGACATCATCAACGAGGCATATTAACAAAAGCACGAGGATTGGACCTATAAAGTCCTACTTCTCCCAAAATATTACATAAACCAGGAATATGCATTATATAAATAGTGCTGGTTAATTACCCTTCCCTTACACAAAGCCACTGTTTGACCCTACCCTTCCCTTCCATATGAATATTCATTATAATATTTACGCAATTATTTATTTCTGACACCAATAGAAAGATCCGAAACTGATTAGTAAACACCTTTTTCTTGTTTTCCTAAAATAAATAAACACGGATTGTATTACGCGAGGCTATGTGAATGAGTGAGCAATCAGGCAAGCTATTTCCACCTTTCTTGGACGAAAGCAACATGATTATACTGCTAAGGACCTCTACCGTAGTTGTGGGTCATATCTCGGACGGCATAACGCAGCAATCAATTCGTACTACTCAGAGATTCCACTATGGACTATCAAACCCAGAAACGCATGTTCCTACCTTGTGCCAACCCTCAAAGAAACGAAATGAAACATTATTTTGCCGTCTTTACTTAGGGGCTTGTGAAAATATCGCGACCTCGGAGCAAATTTAGTTGCCAAATACTGTGGCAGAAATGCCCGAATGCTCTGTCAGGGCCATGCCAAATGGAGTGGTGGTTATACGGTGATTACCAGTCAATTTCCGCATTGTTCGCGTTTCCCCATGAGTCACCCCCTGAGTTGCCACCAGAACCCCAAGTACCGGCGGCATCGACTTTGGTTCCAGATCCCCAACCATCTGCGGCGACTCCTCCGGCCGCGGGAGCACCCCAGGCGTCGTCTGCACCGGTGTTACCTCCAGCAGCCCAGGAATCGCTACCAACATTCTGGCCGTCCTTGGGTCCGTCTGTCTGCCACGCGTCTCCAGTGTCTCCCTCCTCTTCTCCAAAGTCGCTCTTATCGTCCTCCATTTGGAAGTTATTTGGGTCCACACCCTCGGGGATGTACTGCTGGAGGAAGTCGGGTACCGGCTGGTTGGTTTCCATGAGTATCTTGGTCAAATCCTCAGCGAGAGACTCATCGCGCTCAGTGTAGAATGAGGTGGCGGAACCAGTGTAGCCGATGCGGCCGGTTCGACCTGTAAGGTGTTAGTAAACGAATAAAATACTCCGGAAATGAAAGGCAACTTACCAATACGGTGAACATATTCCTGAATACCGCCATGGTCCGCACTTGGAAGATCAAAGTTGATAACATAGCGGACGTTACGCACGTCAATTCCGCGAGCCATGACTCCGGTAGCGACGAGAATGGGTGTTTTTCCAATGCGAAACGCTCGCATTGCGTCCTCTCGCTCTCGTTGAGTGCGGTCGGAGTGAATCGAAGTGCAAGGAAATTTTTTGTGGAAGAGAAAATCATCAATCTCGTCTGCCGTGCGTTTGCTGTTGACGAATATGATGGCTCGGCCAGCCTTGAGCGAGCGCAGAAGGTCAAGAAGGGCTTCTCGCTTCAGCTCCTGCTTCACAAAAATGATGTCCTGCGAAATGTTTGCGTGGGAGCTTCCGATACGACCCACACGAATGCGAATATGGTTCATCGCAAGGTGATCTTTGGCGAGTTTGCGAACAGCGCCAGGGAAAGTGGCCGAGAATAGCATGTACTTCACATTTCCTTCTTCCTGTTCTATAACGGATATTAGATTTATACCGATGTGTCAGAAACGCGGGAGCTTACCTCCACCGGAGAGGATCCTCCCAAATTCCTCCTGCCAATCCATGTCGAGCATCTCATCAGCCTCATCGATCACCATGTATCGAAGTCGACGAAGTGTGAACAGGTGCGGGCGCTCCATGATATCGATAAGTCGACCAGGAGTGGCGACGAGGACATCGCAGCCTCGTCCAATCTGTTGGAGTTGTTCCTGAATCGGTCCTCCTCCATAGACCACACAAGGACGAAGCATTGTGCGGTAGCAGAATCTACGCGCTTCGTCGAAGATTTGAATTGCTAGTTCTCGGGCAGGACAAACCACGAGTACCAAAGGCTCAGCTCGCACGTATTGGGCTGTTCCATTATCAAACTGCTCGGGAGGTGGGCGGGGAGCAGCCAACTTTTTGGCTTTGCCCATCAACTGGTTCAAAATAGGAACCAGATATGCGGCGGTTTTGCCCGAACCTAAGAAATAAGTCGGTTAGCCAGAGCAACGTAGAGTGATGATAAAAGATATGTGAATTACTGACCGGTTTGGGCAATAGCGATCAAATCATGTCCCATCTTGATCGCCGGGATGCAATACTTTTGGATAGGGGTCGGTGTTCTATAACCTGCCATCTCAACATTCTTCATCATGATAGGGTGAAGACCCGCTTCTTTGAAGTTAGAGATGGGGATGATACGCTTCTCACCCTCTTGGGAGACACTGATCTCAGCGATCCTTGGAAGGTTAGCGAAGATAGTAAGTCGTGAAGGCAAATGAAATGAACTTACTTGGAGAAATCGACGCCGGCGCAGTGTCGCTCCTCCGGGCGGCCGAAGAGCTCGAGCTCTAGCTCTGGATTCACAGGGCCGATTTCACCTTCGTCGCCATCCCATTCGTAGATGGCGCCGCTACTGCCCCACTTGCGGTCAACATCAGTTTCAGTGTAGTCAAACGCGACAGGCTGACCCCAGTCTGCAACAGGCTTCTCAGGATGCTGCGCAACGGTGGTTGAAGGCCCAGCAGCTTGCTTAGGGGCCATAGGCTTCCCCTCAGGAGAACCCCAGCCGTCAGACATCTTGATTGATGAACCAACAAGGTTGTTTTCGGAGTTCTAGAGATCTTAAGTCAGTGATAACAGAAGACGTAGTACTCATCCACTGGCTTGCAAGGGCTTTGAAGCCAGAACATCAGATACGGGGGAGTACAGCTAGCTAATAAGCGAATAGAGGTTTCAGACAGTGTGATATAGATAATGTTTAGGAGGGGGTGAAGAATGTCAAGAAATGTGGTTTTCCGGGGTGTTAAGGTTAGAAGTTTGATATAGGGATATAAAAACAGTTCGTATTGGTTGAAAGGAAACGTAAATGCGAAAAAGCGCGAGCAGATACTTACTTGCTGACTTATGTCTTGTCAACTTGAGAACTTGACTGTTGTGATAGTCAAGTCTGTAAGCGCGAGCCCTATGCGATAGATTATTAGCAAAACGTTGCCTTGAAGGACGGGAAGGTCTGCAAAAAGCAGCAAGAGAAGGTAAAATAAAGTAGCAGCAGTTCGTGCAAGTGATGGGGAAGCAAGAATTATGCCAAGAAGAGGTCTTGCGGCATATACAAGCTTACCTACCTAGTAATGACGAAGAAGCTGAGACCTAGATTGAGGGTAATATGTTATTGAAATTATCCAGCCAAAGCGTGCAGGAATGGTAAGTTCTTGAGGTGAGTTTCTTCTTTTAATGAAGACTTAGATGGTACCTCAAAGAAGTTGCTTGCAGAGTACAGGTCGGCGGTGGTTGAGTCGCGTGAAAGGGCGCCTAAGTAATAGACGATCGAGAAGAATATGAAGGGTTGGAGAGGCTTATGTGCTGAAAGGAGGATAGTAAAGAGAAAGTAAAAGGGAATCCGGGTGTGTTGTCTTGTAAGGCAAACACGTCGATGTTTACCTTTAGCAGAGTATGGTTGATGGATGATGGTGGGAGATGATGAGGGAGAGGGAGGAGGAGACGTCAAACTTACCTTGGATGGGTAGCTAGCCCTTTGCTTTGTTGAAAGATCGAAGAACTGAAGACTGGAGTTGTGGTTTCTAGATTATCCTAGGCTACCTTTCCAGGGGATCCTGTGGTAAAGTAATGATGAGGTAAAAAGTCAAAGTTGACTATGGGAGGGAAGGATGGGTTCTCTTATAGTTTCTGGTTGGAGAGAATCAGCACCTTGATACCTCGAGGATCAGGAAGTAACAAACTTAGGAAGGAACAGCTATCTAGGTAAGTTGAGTTGTTTTAGAAGGAGCCCCGTATATACTTGCAAGGTATACTTTTCTTATGTGAAGTATTAAGTACGCGTACTTAGGTGGGTAAGTACCAAATCTACTATAACTGCTGGTGCAAGTATGTGAAGGGTACAGCTTAGGGAAGTAGAGCTAAGTACGAGTTTACCTAAGGCAATAAGGTGCATAAACAAAACGAGGAAGCAGTGATGGAGATGAATAAGGCTGTGACTATTAGGGGAGGAAGCACCAGCCCAGTACATACCTTTCATTGGACACTGCAGTTCATGTACTGATAGGTATTGTCTGCATACACTGTAAGACTCTAACTTGGAAGGCACACTATGTAGAATGTATGTGTTATGTATTCTTAGGTCTCCAGGACGATCATGTAGGAGATGGGTGCATGGCCTAAAGCACTGGGACGATATGCAGATCACTGTAAGAGATTTTTGAAATGTGGTAAGCTGGCTGGAGTGCCTCAGTGGGGGACGTCAGGGTCGACGGCATGGTTGACGACGTGGAAATGGCTAGCCCCCTAGAAATGAATGGGGGGTCGAGAAATCAACGTCTACTCTCAAGAAGATTGACTTACTATGGCAGCATGTTACTATATCTTTGATTCATCAACGACCTTGATTAAAAGGGGTTACTTGAAAGCCTCTCCTTATGCTTTTCGAGAGCCTTTACCTAGGTACCTAACGTATGATTTATTGATAATGGGTTGGATATATAGTATAGTAGGTGTGTAGCTATAGTATTAAATGCCCTCTCTACTTAACGAAAGTCCCTTTGAGTGTACATGGATATATTTGTTTGCTAGGATGTAACATACACCATCAACCTGTTATTGCTTTTGGATGTTGACAGGAAATGACGGAAATATGTCCGTTCGTTCATAAGCTACATGCATGTTAGAGCTTGAACAAACAAAGGGTAAAGATCATGTAAATGGGGTTATGCTATGGGTACTTGCAGTATAATTAGCTGTAAAACTCTTAATATGATTAAGGATTAAGGGATGCAAGTAAGTCTTTATGGCATCACTATTATACGCAGCATGGCTTGGGATCTATATGCAGTATTGTAGGTTATTGAGGTAAGTAACGTTCAATGTAATGTGCAATGCTCATTGATGCCTTATATTGATATTAAAGCGATAGAGATCGGGTGAAATTTGCTTGCCTGGGATAGACATCCATATTAATCACTTTCTGATGGGATGCTTTACCATAAAGCTTTACAATACATTACTACGCCGAGCCGAATGCAAAATTTAGCACGGGTAGGAATGCTGCGTTTAATACGGGTTGAAAATTTAAAAACACATCTCAGAGCGCCTAGATCCCTAGTTTACATGATATAGCCATCCCATAGATGCTCGTCATCGTTGAATCGTGAAGTCTGTTCGTAGTCACCCATACCATCCTTCAACACTTGATCTAGCGTTGCCGCAGCTCTACCGGCTGTCCCACCTTCTTTCTTGGCCATATCTACACCGGCCTCAACAGCTGCTCTAAACCTCTTCTGGAAGATATCTTGTCTATCTTCTCGGTTTCGATAGAGCTCACTATCCTCGTCTCTAGGGGGCTTGAATAAGCCGAGATATCCAAGTGGGTCCGACGTCCGCGGCACGCAACATATATTGCTGACCCAATCGTTGGGGGTCCAAGTTGTAGCCATTCCTGGCTTGAATCCTATATCTAGAAATTTGGACAACACCAACATCTGTCGTGGGAAAGACTGGCCGTATTTCTTGGCACCAAAAGTCGTCCTCGGAGCAGAAGTCCAACCACTCTTCGCCGCGATGGTTGGTGCGGATTTAACGGCCCATCCGAGAACCGACATGAAGTCTCTAAGCGGTTTGACCCAACAACCAGCACTTGAGACGACATCCTCACCGGCGACGTCAAGTAGCCATTCCATATAATTCAGGCCATCATCCTTGACCTCCTGCGAGATATTGGTCATGGTACCTCGAATATAGAGCATGATCTTCTCAACATGAGGGCGGACTTCATCGGCGGGAAGAGTTCGTAGTAGCTTCAGCAGCTGACCGCGCACAGGTCCCGAGGAGTCGGACATAATGGGAAGAATTTTCTGTAGTAATGTCGACGTGCCTACTGGGTTTATCGGCGGATTCGTCGAGAGCTGGCTCGCGAGGTACGATAACGCATCTCGACGTTGAGTGTCCGAGCGAGAGCTCGTCAGAGAGAGGTTATGCTTGAATCGTTCGGATGGATCCGGCGCATTCTCAGCAAGTTGCTGCTGCAAGACGATAGCTACGATGGTTTAGCAAAGAGAACTTCAATTGCGACGATGGATATCGCATGAATAGCATCATAATCATACCTTTGGATTTAAAACTGGTATCCGTGAAGTTAGAAGGCTTTGCCTTGGGCTTCCCTACTTTTAGCTTGGGCTTCTGGAAGTCCTTCTTCTTTTCCTTCTTCTTCTTAGCGCTGGAACCCATCTTGACTCGGTCATTGGGATGAGCAAGAACTGGCGCGATAGGTTCAGTAGACCGATTGGCCTTGCTATCCCATCATACACCTACGTAACTGAGCTTCGCGACGGAACTATCGAGCACAACTTTTTGGCGGTAAGTAGCGGCATAATTAATTCACTGACCCCGGATTTTCTTTGTGGCTTGGCTATCTTATCACGGTGGCTTGCCGCCAATGTCTTAGCTCTTAGTGGCTTAAGCTAATTTCTAGGTACGGTTGTCTAAGGTTGGGTACAGGTACCAAACAAAGAATCAATAAGCTCTTAATTCACCTTGAGGGCTGTTCTCGTTCGCAATTACTACGAAGGGTTCTTCATTCAATCACCAAAAATAAATATGGCAGAAAAGGCATTGGTACGAAGTATAACCCTTTGGTATTAATATATGTATCTAACTGATGACGTACGTAGCCTTCCGTCAACACGGAATCCATAGAAGACGCACTCCACCGGCTCTCCAAGAAGCCTGGGGTCAAGGCCTGGCTTATGTTAGACCGGGTCAACGGTGCCGTTCTCAAGACCAACGGCCAGATCTCCACGATTAGACCTGCGCGATCTGTAGACAGGAAAGCTTCACTGCCGAGCCCTACGGGCGGCTCCTTCTCGACCGAGGCCAGCGCGAGTACCGACAGCGAGACCCAAGCCGCACAAGAGCTTGCCAGCATGGTGTGGAGCTTCTTAAGTACGGCTGGGAGCTTGGTCGACGAGATTGACACCGAGGTAGACAGCCAACTGTGTTTTAGAATGAAAGAGGGGCTAATGATTCGACGTAGGACGAACTGAAATTATTGAGGCTGCGCACGAAGAAGCAAGAACTAGTCATTGTCCCCGAAGCTAAGTATCTGCTGGTAGTTGTCCACGACACACCTCCCGTGTAATGGAACGCGTCACATTTCAGGTTATCGAATCTAGCGGGACTCCTGGCTCGCAATTTAACTGGCGATTTTCTCAGCCAGTAGCTTACAGCATACACGGCGTTCAGCGGCGTTTAGGATGGCATTATACCCAAGATTTCCAGGGTGGGAATGATTTATGTTGATGACCTAGGGCTCTCCTAATGGGACTCAATGTCTCTAATAAAAGAATATTATCGTGTATGGTCGACTTCTAACGTAAGCATTACTACGTGATTAGGTCTGTTTGAAGTATCCATAGCATATAAATGGAATATGCTCATTGCGAGCCGAAGGTCGCACGGCCTCTCCATGTGGTTCGCATAAGCGGAATCCAACCCATCACTGGCGACGAACATAAGGGAAGATTTGATACACATCACTCACTCTACTTTTCCCCCATTGACGGCGATGGGAAGACTTATGGCTAATACAGTTTTCCAAGAACAGGAGCCAGAACATTATCATATCATTACTCGCTCTCGGTCATTATTGCGGTATTATACCATACGACGGTAAATTGCGTGTAGTTCGTACATGAGCAAGGCTATGGACGCTACAACTATTAACCAGTGCTCGGCGGCTAAATGGCAACACGTTGTCCGTGTCAGACTTGACTACACTGGGGTTGAAGGGGTGTTCTTTCACCCCTATGTTTACCACCCAAAGTCAGCTCAACCATGCAACAGACGCTTCAGCTACTATCAGACTCACGGCATTGTTGGGTAATGTATAGGGTCTTCCTTTCTTAGTGGACGTTTTCCCCGGCCGTCTCTAGGCTATTTCCGCGTGATAGCAAGCTGACTGCAGTAGTTGAGACCTACTCCTGCAGACGGTACACGATCCAGGTATGGTAACTATCAGGCTTGTCGGGGTCCTTCGCGCGTGGAGCGTAGCGAGGTAATCCAATTGAATAAAAATGTTTGCGCCGTGGCTCTGCAGACAGTTTCGAAAACCCGAGAGCGCTTGCTCTTATGACTACCTCTGCATCTGATGGATCGGCATTTGACGCAGCACCAAGGGCATCGAGGGGCGTGTCCCCCCGCCAGAATCCGGTTAGTTGACTGGTTTAGAGGAGACAAGACGTTGCTCCAGCCTTGATGACAGCACTTGCCATCATCCCCTTTAAGTCTACGTTGGCAACTAAAGTTAGTGTCCAAAGGACCATAGGATTACCAAAATGGCATCTGGGTGACTAACAGAGCGGATAACATTATTTCTGCTACGCCTGCCAGCAAATGCCTCCGTGAAAGATATTAATGCGAATGAGAGAAGAAAGCCCGTTGCTTCTGGGGCGGGGAAACACAATATAGCTACTCTAATAGGTTTGGTATCGAGGCCGCCGATATAAACTACCATTATAGTACATATTTCTATCGGTTACGAGATAAATAATCTGTGGCATTGGAGTACCGTAGCCTCGGTTTATACTTTTGGGAAGAGCATTACAGGTATATATGAAAGAAATCGAGCCCGGAGAGACAGATGAAACCGGACATATACGGTTCCGTTCTCCCAAGATTAGAATTATACGAATAAGTCGAAGAATATCGGATGCAAGAACACGCTGGCCTTAGAAGAAATCCTGAGTCGGATACTTGATGTTAAACTAAGACTCAAATGGTCCCGATAATGCAAACCCGATTCGATTTACATCGAGTTATTAGCATTGGCGACAAGAGGAATCTCATCACGAGGGCTCATCTTACATCCTATAGCTATGGCTATTAAAAGTGCCACATGAGCTGGCAATGATGGATGAAACACGCCTCGGCTCCTAACCCAAGCGATTAAGAGTATACTTCCACGTGAACTTTCGGCATTCGCATAATCTTGGGTAAAATAGTCAGCTGTTGGATGAATACGGGATGGGGGAGGCCGAGGATAATAATAACCCGAACCTCGGACACGTATTTACGACGCGTGAATTAATGTGTAGCCGTGATTTGAGGTCTTTCAGTACTACAACAGTAGGTGTAGATGCGTAGGAGGTATAAGACGATCCTCTCAGAAAGGCTCCATAACTGGCGTTATCAACTAGCACGACGAATATCGCAAATTTGCTGACTGCGGTCATATCCGATGTTAGTTGATCCGCAGTGCCATTTAAAGTGCTGCCAACTCAATACGCAGACAGCGAGTCATCGCCAACTTTAGCTATATGATTCAGCACCAACTAAATATTAGTTCCGGACAAGCGGGAAGCTTTATGATCGTCGTCAGCTGTAACTGATCGCCGCAGTTATCATCCTTGGAGCGTTTCTAGAATACTGTAATCGGAGCCGAACTGGGCTACGGTAGGATGACATACCTGGAACAGCCTGACGCCCCACGGATGTGATTGAGAATCCCACAAGGTCAGGGTAATTGACTTGGTTATTCTCTAATCGTAATAGGACAATTGAGTTGGTGGGTACATAGTATACGATAGAATCCAACAATGTACCATTGGTCGTCGCATGGAACGGCGCCTTAGGAACTTTCTATGGAAGCAAGGGTCAGTTTTCATTTTCCGGCTCAGTTCAGTCAACGTGTCCCACATAAATTAAACAGAAACGTTCGGATTTATCACATTGGAAGGTTGAAGGTGAAAGGCCGCCTTCATTAAAATTAAAGTGCTATACAACTTGTACGGCACTGCTCAGAATTCTGGCGAAAGACGCTTCGGTAATAATTCGAAGGATAATTCGAAGGTTGTAAGGATGCACCATAAGGCTGACACTGTTTCAAAGTCGTAAATAAGAACTTTTGACAACAATGATGACGAAACGCATTCTAATCTTGTACAGAAAATCTGATAGAGAGGGTTCGTACTCGGTGGGCGGCTTAAATCGCGAACCGCAAGGGTGGTACGAAGCGAAAGATCTAGTGGATCTATCCAGATGGCCACCCACGCGAGCCACGTCAGGCATGAAGGCTGAAACTGTAAGTGAGCCTTAGCTAGAAGGTGGATGGTATATAGCGTGAGATAATGTCGGTGTGCGGCTGTTACATATGAGAAAAGCCCACATCTATCGGAATACCGGTAAGACGCATGATATTGCTGGCGTTAGGAACTGAAGTACCAACGATTTTTAATGGGGGTGAATTTCAAACAGGTACCAAATCGGTAGAGGAAACATCCCCTGCACATTCGACCTCCGAAGCCTATGAGGAGGCAGTGGAGGTGATTTGAAACAATCCAAAAATGTATAGGATAGCTAGCTTACCGGTTGATTATCTTGTTCATCCATAGCTATCCCAAGCACCCACAGCCCGAATCCATCTACCATGTATTGTGACGTCCGGCACTTTGAACGTAAGCTTGGCGACTCGTGGCATCATTCATATTACTGGCCTGGCGTATACAAAGATAGATCGGATATTTGACATTGCGGTTGGTTTTAATATGGCCGTGTGGCCGCCCAGCCTGATTTCCCATAATTGTGTAATCTGATATTTACATCTGGCATTAGGTGCGCCTATCATCGTCTTCTAGCATATCGGGAAGACCGTAATATAGAGGATCTGGTCGACCGGCTTTTAGCACCACTCGAACTTAATATCCTTGGTCCAACCTCATTTTGACATCAACTGGGTGGCTTGGCGGGTTGTTCTCATGGCACACTTATAACCAGTACGACAGATCAGTTCTGAAAACCACCATGCACTTTCCGCGCAATATACCGTCGGACGTTGTGTTCGACGCTCTAAACTTAAACAACCGGAAAAGCACACACGACTCATCCATGAGGGTGCCATCGTTAGCTGTGTTTAAACCCTCAGCACTGATCTTCATTACCGACGCCAAGGAACCAACCAATGGGAACCGGCAGAAACCTTCATCTAAATATGCTCGAATTCGAGAGTTTGTACGTCGGCCAAAAGAACAGAATCGCAAGACCCCTCAGGCGCGAATACGGAATAAGTTGCAAAAAGGCATCCGTGGGGTAATTAAAGGTGTCGGAATGAGTAAAGGTGAAGGACTACGGCGACGGAGTGGATATGCAAAAAATGATTCAGGCGAAGGTTCGGGTTCAAACTCACGCACAAGCGCGGCCGTCGCGGATGCAACTGCAACTACGACTACGACTACGAACACGGCCACGACTGCAGGCAGAAGTACAAGTACATCCAGTGCGGAGAAATCAAAGGCCAACACAGCAGCAGCAACGGTACTGTACCTACCATAATTTCCTTTTATAGCAACCCTTACCGCCCCTACCCTTTTCTCTCCACATTATCCTTGTCGGGGCACGTGTCCGCCAACTGGTAGTTAACCTAACTGCTGGAGATTCTGGGGCAATTCGTTAACGACGCAGCTGCAATGCTGCAATGGCAATTGCCAGATGCGCACGTACGAGTCAGTCCCCTGCCAAGCCTCGGTACAAGTATTGTATATTGTACATACAATGTCATTTCAGTTTGGCAGTGAGGGGGGAAAGCGCATAGTTGTTGGATAGACCGCGACCCCTAAAACTGCTTGTCTTATGACCTCAGCTGATGTTTCTACCTAGACCCTGCATGCGCTGTTTTCTTTTCGAACCTTCTTGTTTTTATATTTTCATTTGTTCCGGTAGATGGAACTAAGTAGTTCACACAGCTGAATTATTTATATCTGTTTCTGGAGTAGGATTCTAGATACTTCTCGCGTGTCCAACATCTCCTATTAACCAGCGCTGCCTATAAGGAGCTTTTTCGGGGTTTATCACTAACACCGCTCGTACATCTTAGCAGACTTCGAGTGCACGGCCGTCATCTGAGAGACCACCATTATCTCCACGTGTGCCCGTCAATTCTAATAAGCCGCTCCCATCTCCGCCTCCTCCGGGTGCTATAGATAAAGTCGATGGCAGGCCTCGCAAGCCTGTGTTGAAACTCAATCGCATCATGGCAGCATTGACCGATACCGAGATCGAGAAGCTATTCTCCGGAGCTCCGCAATTCTTCGCTCGGTCTCAAGGTCACGGCACCGGTGCCCCGCACCCATCCGTGGCCTTCCCTTGGAATGACGAGTTGGGCATTAGAGACTTAACTGACCATGTCCAGATCGGAGATAATGCGTGGGGTTGCGTAACTGCTGGACCCCGGATCATTCTCCGGGATCCCCTATCCGTAGAGTCGCCGTCTTATAAGAAGCGGCCTCACTTCGATGCAAGATGCCAGGAACGACCAAACATGCTTAGCATGCAGGGCTTAGAGAAAGGTACTATCGGTTATCAAGCGGCTTTGGAAATTTCTATTGCCGACTCCCTGCAAGAGGAGCAGTATGGTTTCAATAGTTTGGGATCCAAGGGTCACGTCATTGTACAGCAGCGCCAGAGGCTGATAACCTCCAAGGATGGCTTGCGGCATCTCGATGATTCGGAAATCATGGAACAGCTAATCAAATTGGAGGAGAGGTATCAGGCAGAGCGAAGGGGTGCTTGGATAAATTCTCAGGAGCTTTACAATGAGCTATTCACTAAAGTTCTCCATCCTCCGACTAGGGTTATTGACCCCAAAAACCCTTACAGCTTGGCTGTGCAAATTCATGCCTTAGTAAAGGTATTGGCAGCGCCGAATGCCTGGACCGACTTCTCATGCGTCGAATGGAGGATCCGTCTTGGCCAAATTTTGTGGGCCTTCCCCTTGGATGATGAGATCTTAGACGGGGCATCTATCAATGAGGGAAAAAACGCGCAAGATCGAAGTGAGGAACGATATTGGCTGTTGCTTCAAATTCTTCTTGCTTGCGAACTACTTATTCGATTAGATGCCATTACGGAGGGCGATGAATACGGCATAGGTCAGAATCTCAAGGCCTCCGAGGTACACAGATTTGAAAAGGAGGCAAATGTCTCTGTTAGATGGTCCTTGATTCTGGCCCGATCGTGGCTGGAAAATATCAGGGTTGAAAAGCAGCAAGTGGATCACTCCGAACCGCCCATACATAAAGGATGGCTCTCTTCGTTGACGAGCAGGATGAATCTTAAGCATGAGCAGCACATGTACGGGGCGCATCATGTTGACCACAGTCAGCATCATGACAACTCTTTGTCAGAGCATGTGTACACAATACAAGGAAAATATAATGAGAGGCAGGTTTACGGGTTAATACACTTCGCGCGAAAACTACGCTGGCCAGACATACAACTTTCCGGCGCAAAATTATCCGAGAAGGCTATGGCGTTAAGTAAAGCAACCCCCATTACTACGCTTCCCCTCGATTATGATTCCCGCCGCTCCTCATACTTTTCTGATGGTGCATCATCAGTGCGTGACAGAAAGCAACCGGCTAGACGGAGGAAGATTGAAGCTGCGTTGCACGCGTCCGGATGGTTCTCGAAGTCATATGTATCCGGTTTAATCCTGCCGGGTGAAGTGCTATCGCACCATCTTATGTCGGCTTTATTGGAGGTTGATGAAAATGTATTGGCGAGGCTCGGTCCACTGGTGAATCTCTGTGGTGGTTTTGTCTATAGTGGGAAGAGCTTCTGGAGTACAGCTTGCATCGTGGGCCGTGTGTTGGCTGCTGGACAGGGTGCAGCAGAATGTATGGGCTGGATATCGAGTGACGTGACTCCTCGAGGGTTCGACGAGGGCTGGGTGAACATTTCGGTTGATGCAATCCCAGGTAAGCCCTCTTATTTCCGTTCAATCTAGTTCAAGCCAGGTACTTACTATTGCAGCCGATGTCGCTCGAACAGGAAGGAAAGCCAGGATATGGGGTAAAACAACTATCGAACGCGAGTCCGATGTTCTCGGTGATGCTGACCCTTCGAGCGTACTGCCCGCCGACTTTATAATCCCATACGAAAATGCATACCCCAATCCACCCCCCTCGAATATCAGAGTAGAGCTTAAATCGTTAAATTTAAACGCCTCGGTAGACAACGGAAGCACGACGCCTACCACAGATAGGAATTTTCGCCCGGTTTCGAACCCCAACAAGGAAGAGGGCGCGGGAATTCAGACTTACCCTGCTTCTGTAACGTTTACGATATCTCACGACGCACTTGAAAAAGACGAGTATCACAAATTTGCGCTTTCCAATGACGTCTACTTTGTTACTGCTCATCCTTGCGTCGCCTCTAGTTATGTCAAATATTTTAAATCCCCCACCAGCCCTACTATCCAGCAAATCGACGTCGGAGGTCATAATTTCAATGGCAAGTCTGCCAGCGCGGCACATATTACAGGTTTGTACCCCTACATCACGCCTCTCTTACTGCACCTTACTGACATGTGCCAGGCCATCCGCTCCATCGATTTTATCATTATACGGCAATTCATCTCACAGATCTCATCAACCATCCTTCTGCAAGTCTAGAGGACCTATTATGCAAAATACCAGTTAAAGGCCATTCGAGAAGCCACTCCTCAGCCTCTATGTCCAACAGAATTCCCCGATTTTTAGTAATCGACTGTGTAACGGGCTTTGCGCCACCACAATCAACGGACATGCCCTCGCTCTCTCGCATGTCTTCGCTCTCATCGTCATTTGGTACGGAAGCCATTAATATGCCACCATTACGGACGTCTAATTCACTAGAGATGGAGCGGCGGCCAAGCACAGCAGCATCATCCCGCAGCAAGATCGAGCGGATCGACCCGCCAAGCCCCAGTCCCGAAGCTAAGATGCGACTCGGAACGCGTAGGAGGCAATTCGGGTCCGACCTCGAGATCCTTGTTCGCGCCCTGTGCGCCGAAAGGGGCTGGAACGCAATTATCAGCCGTCGTAGGAGGGGTTGTTTATCTTGCGCCATCAGAGAAGCGGGGGCTCTAGGGTGGAAAGTCATTATCCGAGTCGAGTAAATAAAGCGTCGGAATGAAAAACATTAATAAAAAGAGTACGAGAAAACAGTATCTAGCCCCATACAAGGGTTTGGTTTCCGAGGTATGGAGCGGTTTTGGTAGCGCGGTTTAAAATTACAACATGGCACAAAAAATTCGGGTTATGAAGCGGATATGTATGACAAAATGGCATGCATGGGCGTAAGAGGGCTATTGTAGCTCTTTCTTTCTTTTGTATTAGGCATATTTGCGAGATACCCAGCTCTTTACGCTAGTAATAAACAAGGAATTTTATTCTTGGAGTTTTTATATTTCACCAAACGGCGGCCTGCGAATTTGACGGAGAATTCGGGCGTAGAAGGCTACTGACGTTTTACCCCTTCCCCGCCTTTACCCCTTTTCCACCCCTACTATGTTACACGTATATTCACATTAATCGTTGAACTTGGGCAGCCCAGGTTCAAATACCCTAAACTATAGATTGATATTGGTCAAGTAAATGTGCCTTTCGTAGGTATAAAATATGCTGCGGTATATGATTGTCATTGATAGTTACGGGGCACTGGAAGCTACATTACTCACCTCGCCCCCTTATAGAAGATATGTTGTTTCGGAATGTTGTTTATACGTAATATAAATGGAGGACCAGGCATTCTTTATCCAGCCCCTACAGGACTATTGACTAGATTGTTATAACTCTATCATAGGCGAAAAGTTAAAGTCCCCATTAAAATTAGTATCCGCCATTAACATCCAGCTTCCGTCGTCCTGCACATTTTCCGGCAGCCATCGAAGCGGCGTTTCGACGGGAACGGGTGATTCTAACGCGTGGCCCTGATTCCCATCTTGCATATATGGGATCCCGGCAGCTACTATAGAATCGATATAGCTCCATTCGGCAACCGTAAGGGGTGGCTTAGACGTTGAGGGGCAAGATACGGCGGTCACTGAGGAGGAAGGTGTTGGTATGAACATCTGGACGTTGGAGCCGATTTCTAAGCCCCCGGGAGAAGAGCCAGTCATTATCTGCGATGCGTCTTGTCGCGGGCCCCCGGCCCCGTTTAGTATTGACGCTTTTTGCTTGTTGAATAATTGACATAGAGTCGAGGCGCAGCGGGCGGCTGCTGGTGTGCTGTTCGCCTGTCTGAGTATTTCGAGCCCGAAGTGAAGTCTGGCATTGGCCTCTCGAGCCAACACTGGGTCCCCGGCAGCGGTTTCGTTTTCGGTGAAATCGAGCACGTTTACGGTGCAGGCGACGAATAGTGTGTATGTCTCTAGATACGTTATATATCGCAAACCGAAACGCTTGACGTGTAACATGAGTAGTGTGTCGGTCATCTTAGCCGCCTTGGTACATCTCTCCTTTGCAATTTGTTGCAATGTTCGATAGGGTCGGCATAGGAGTATCGTGGCTGCTTGGTATGTTAGGTTTAAGAGTAAGATGTGTAAGGGGGGAGAGACTATTTCCGTAGAGGTGGTTTCTTTGATGAATATTTCCGAGGGGAGCTGATCGGCCCAAGACTGCAATTGCTGTAGGGTCGAATTAAGATACGTTAGAAGGTGGTCCTGTCTCCCGCTATGTGGCCGGGAGTATAAAGTATCGAGAATATTCTCAATGATGACGCTGAGCTCGCAGTATGCGGCAAAACGCGTACTGCTCAGGGATTTCTGTTCCACCAGGCCGTCCACAAACGAATTATATGTCGTCGCCGGCGGCCATGCTTCGTCATCAGCATCATGGCCATGTAATAATGTGTCCCGAGTCGGGAGTTCTACTGAATAATGTACGGCCGGTGCTCTGCCCAGACATACGCTCATAGTTTTATCCCACGTATAACAGCTCCAGAAGACTTGTTTCCGCACAGCGAGCTCTTCGTCAGTGAACTGTTTCGCCAAGTTTCCGAGCTTTTTGGGCGAAACGTCTATCCCAAGGTCGCGCATCATTCTAAAGGCCGTTCCAGAGTATAGCCAGCCTTGTGACACGCGCCCGCAAGCGCACTCTCGCGCGGATAGTATAAGTAGACCTTGGATGGTAGGAATGGAGCTGCCCTTGTCGATATCGCTGGGAAGTAGCTGTAGAGCTCGAGTGGCAAAAGTCTGCCCAACTTCTGTGGCGTCTCGGCGTGTGGAATACCGAGCAGCTTGCGCAAGTACAGCGCATAGTAGAAAAGGGGTAACGTATGACCCCGAACTGTAAAGATCCCCTAGATGTCCGTTAGACTCTGAAAAAAGATGTATATAAAAACATACTAACGTAAAAATAGAGGCTTGCATAGTACGCAATGAAAGTGGTGTGGGTAGCACCAATAGGTATCAAGGAGGTCATCCAGGAGGCCACGGGGTATTTCTGCCAGGAGCGAGGCTGTGTCGTGGAATTCGAATATCGAAGGGATAGTCGCCATGTCATGAATATAAGTTCCGGTGCTAATATCTTCATGACTTTCTGTGGGACTGCTCTCTTCGAAGTGTTTAGGATCTATGTGGTATAAACTAGTCTTCCCATAGAAGTTGACTCGCCCGTCCGTACCAACAGAAGCCATATCAGCGGCATCGTCTGGACTTTCAGCAGTGACGCTATCGTCCTGCTGGGGGCTCTGTAGATTAAAAGAGCTTCGAAATGCACGGGATCTCCCTTCATTTGGATTTATTGTTCTAATAGGCTCGTTCAGGAGAGCATCCCGATCTTGGTCTTTGACACGCCTCAGTTCCTCGATCTTGTTTTTGTATGCTTGCAGTTCGTTTTGCAATGATACTGTGTAAGCTATTGATGGGGCCCTAAGAAATCATGAGTACCCGTCTCTCTCTATTGGTATTGATATAATGCTTACTTGTCGTACGAGCAGGTTTCACCGTTTGAAAGACACTTCTGACAGGATGGCATAGCACCGTTACATCTGGCTTTGCGCCTCCTACAATTTGAGCAAGCAAATCCATATTTCCGCGCTGGTCTAGAATTGGGTTGTCGCATCATTCGTTATGAACTTTAGGTACTGTTTCACTCAACAATTCACAAGAAATCGGTGAAGTCTATGAGATGAGACTTTATTCTCTTGTAGGATATGAATATACATCCTTCAACTTAGAGGGTGGAGTTAAAACGTAGAGGGGGTCTATACGGCAATTAGGTACTCCTTTACTTCCGAAACCAATTGGAGAGGCGAACAACGATATTGATCCATGTCCAAGATGCTTTGACCACCAAGTGCCTACGGTCATGCGGGGTGGCATGCACATGTAGAAGTAGAATAATGAGATAATCTGACCGTAGGCATATCGTACTCCTCTGATCTATTTGCAATAGACTCATCAAGCCGGAAATTCCAGGTCATATGCAAGAGCGTCATCCTCGCAGATCTCAGTGCGAAGTTCCTGGGCGCTATGCGGCCCGTGTTAGTTAATGCGGACTTTCCTAAAATGATGGGTGTAAAACGTACTATAGGTGGGCTGGATGAGTTGCGTAGCCCGCTATGTCCTCCGCTTTCTCCAAGACCGCCACGACACCCATGTTGTAGCCTCTACTTCTATGTGCCGTGTCAGGCCATGGACTATTGATGTCTATCTTTAGGAGGCCTAATACGATTCATGACTGTAAGCTTAAAATAATGGTGTGAATTTAATAATGGTCACCTACCAGGAATCTGCGATACCATTGCTGCTGCTCTCCTTTTGAATTCATTGAGGCTTTCCGCCGGCGCTGACGGCTTTAGCCGAAACAGTACTACAGATGTTAGTATCGCTAGCACACCCCGAGAACAATAACATTACCTATGTGGTATAAAGGCATGGCTTTGAGAAGATTGATGTCGTGATTAAGTATTATAGAGAAGAAGATATATACCTATTCAATCACGGAGGAAACACGGGCTTATAAATCGATCTCGTTACTACCTATGGCGGAACCTGGCCGTCGTAGCGCTCGGAATATTGATAGTATACCTACTTGATCCATTTCATATCTCCATTCAATAACATTGCTCGGCTTAAGGAGGCAAATGAGGTACCAAGCCGTATGAGGATTAGTATCCAGCCGATCTCGCTTCCCCGGAGTATATAAGTGACGCTCCGATAGGATCCGAACACTCGGCCCCGCATTAACCCCGAGTCGGCGAAGGGTATCTTCAATTAAGATACCGGCATATCCGTAGTCATTCTCAGAGAAGAAATGCTGGACGCCTCAATTCACCATATAATATAGTTTTCAGATAATTGCAGCTTCGTTTGATCAGATTCTCCGCTCCGTAAATTGTTGTCTTCCACTAAGTTAACATCAAGTTGAAGCAACATAGGATGTCCGGGATGTCCAGGGATGTACGTACTACCCCGGCATCTTCCCGCGCATGCATCAATTCCCGCCATGGGGGTTACTTTGATACATGATTTGTCAAATACCTTCTTTCCTTGATGTCACTGCCATAGTAAAAGTGTCCGTCACGTAGGGCCACGAACATCGCCACGGGCATCTACCCGCACGGAAGTGGCGATTATTAAATCAATGCGTATGCTAGAGAGATCCCGATACTTTGGGAGCCCTTGTACCCGGCATCCTACCGAACTACCGCTGGTATTTGCTAGCTAGTAGCTTCTCTCCCTAGATATTTGATCCAGTCTCTTATTTGTAGTGCAGGATATGTTAAGAAATGGATATTCGTGTTGGGAATAGTAGCTCACCCGCTCAACTACCAGGCCTTCTCCAAAGTACTCATTAGGTAATGGCAGACGTTAATACTCTTACGAATCTCCAGAAGACCTACGCAGGTCCCCACGCATCACCAGCATCACTCAATACCCCTTTTAGAGAAGCACTCAGATCATATTCCACATCACAGTCGCTTCAGTTCTCTGTGAGTAGCAAATTTTCTATTTCGAACCCACACCATCTGACCAGTTTCGTAGGAGGATACTTTAGGAAACATTTACATCACTCGACGCGAGCGGGATACAGATATCGCGCCTATTGCTATTGCTTTCCCACTAGACGGTGGCCTTTCTGAACCATCCTTCACAAGTGCCTTTCGCGTATTTTCTCTTCTATCCGAAGTATCTCTTCCATGCAACCCAGTTCTCGTAGGATGGACGACTTTAGGGTCGCGACTCATCGGTCAAGAGCTTTGGGAAGCATCAGCCACGGCACCTTCGTATAGCGTGCCCCCAGAATTGCAGGAGTTCCAGGGAAAAACTAACGCAAAAGATGTATCATTCTCTGCTGTTTTTGGAGCGTCGGAGCAGAAGGGGATACCCCTGAGAATTGAGGGGAGCTCCATCCTCGTCGAGAAAACGCGAAAGCTCGCGACAGGACAGACAGATATCCGACAGTCCCATAAGAAGATTATTAGGGCGCCGTGGGTTTCTATCACGGGGCCTGAAGCAGAAGCTGTGGCGGTTGCAGCTATTAAGGAGTATAGCGCCTACATTGTAGCTTTGTTCGATAATTTTGATTAGTGTACGGAAAAGCAACTGGATATTTCGTTTAATTTTACGCTCTATACCTACGTACCAAATTTGAGTGTAGCGTCATGTAGGAAATTCTACTTACTAGGTGTGGTGATATGTTCGTATGTTTAACACTCATCTTAGAAAATACTCGGCTAGTCCCAAAACTCTATGGAAATCTACGTAGTCGCTCCAATGTGAGGTATCACTATGACATAGGCACACATCCCCCACACTCCAACCCCAAGAATTCATGTCGTAATGATCCCCCTCCCTCCAGACCTATTGCGGAGGCGAGTACCTGTGAGCTGTACCAGAAACTATGTCCAATGCCGGGACCCACCGTGCGAACATCCGGCAACTTGCCGTACGGGCCTTCGGGTGCCTTGGGGATAAAGCCGTGGATTATGATAGAATTTGGTAGGATTGTGAGATTGTGTATAAAGCAGGTCATGCTTCTCATGGTACGAGATAGCTACTTGAAAATCACAACCATACCACAATTTTACGTGGAAACATGGCCTCCCAAATCAAGTCGTCCGGTTACATACTTCGGGACTCTGTTAAACTTTTCTACGAACGGGAGGGCACTAATGGGTCTAGGACTATTCTGTTCATCCATGGGTTTGGAGGGACCACGAATGCCTTCCAACCGCTGGTTTCCAGCTTGCAGGATTTCGATTTAGTTCGCTTCGACTGGGCCGGTCATGGCCGGAGTTCCGTACCGCAGAGTACGAGTATCGAGTCATACGTGGCAGACTGTGAGTGTAAGACTTGCCTACCTCTGAATATACTAAGTCAATATCGTATTCTAATATGAAAATCAGCTGTCATTGGCTACTTGGAGTTAAAAGATATTCTGGTTGTGAGCCACTCATTCGGCGGGCTCATCAGTTTTCATCTTGCAGCAAAGAAACCGGATATTATAAAAGGGGTTGTAACTTTCGGCCCCGTCAAACCGCCTCCTGAAGCTGGTCAGATAGCACTCGCCACTCGCGCCGCTACAGTTCGAAGTGGGGGAGTTGGAGCAGTTGCTGACTTGGTAATGTCAAATGCGTTCTCGCCCAAGTCATTGGTCAACCGGAAAGCAGAAGTAGCACTGGCCAGAGAAATGCTTACGAGACAGGATCCGGAAGGATATGCTTTGGCCTTGGATGCTCTGGCAGGAAGCTCGGCGCCTGCCTGGAAACAAATCAAGGCTAATGTTCTTGTTATAACTGGAGACGAAGATAAGGTATCTACGGCCACGACAGGAGCAGATATAGTGAAAGATATTGGATCGAACGCCAAACAGGTAATTTTCAAGGATACGGGCCATTGGCATGTACTGGAGAGTACGGATGAGTCTATTAAGGTGATCATTTCGACTGCTAAAAATATTGCGTAGTGTATTCTAGACTATAGATGATGTAGTTACTCCAGCTACCGCGTGCTCAGGGGTTTGGATTGGAGGGGGAGATATCTATAAAGCAATAGGGTTGATATTATGCTATGCTGTTTGACTCTTTTGGTCAATATCACCGAATGTGTCTCTTCTTAACGGGACGTATACCTGTAGAATCCCTGCTAATAGAAGCTTTTTGATTGTGATGTACTACGGAACCTATGGTATAGAACTACCAAGACTATTCCCCGGCTAACTAATCGGGGATATCAGGGCATATAAGGTAACTTAACTACCGGCGTCAGCAGTAAAGAGATGGAAATGGTCATACCCAAGTCGAACCAACCATAATATTGATTCTCCATCACAAGTAGGTTTTATGGAGCAGTATATAATACCTGTTTGTGTATACACGGCTGGTCTTGATCTATATAATGCACGCGAGACTAACACACAAAACCTTGTTTCCTACTTCTTACTCAAACTAAAATCTTCGCCTTTGAACGGTGGTAGGCCTGCCGTAACTCGCATTCCCGCGGCACATGAACTCCAATCCAAACTCTCACCACCCAGAGCCTTGGTGGTGGTGAGGTGGTTCCATGCCTGATCAATAAGAGGAGTTGGTGTAGATGTTTCAGCACCTAACTGTCGTATATATGCAGCGTCTTTCATCCCGCCAGGTAGAGTGAACCCCGTCGCGCCGCTAAAGGCTCCGTCTCGAATCTTCTTCCCATAGTTTATCCAAGCTGGCGCGGGGAACCATTGTTCTGACAAAACGTTAGCTTATTTTCGTAGGTAGGTATTTGCTACATTTTCCACTTACGGATGAATTCGTAAAATAACTCGGCGTCAAATCCTGTTTTCTCAGCTAGAGTGAAACTCTCTGACATGAGCTCGATTGTACCGAGAATGCAGCTGTTCCCTAGAATCTTGAGGAGTGCTCCTTTCCTTGTGCTATCACCACAGTCGATAACGGCTTTTCCGATCATCGGAACGATGTACTCCTTCAGTGTAGTCCTAGCTTTCTCATGTCCAGATAATACGACTAAAAGCCCAGCACTTGCAGCTACAGCGGGTGGACCAAAGACTGGACAAGACAGGAAGCTCGAGCCTTTGGCTTCGGCTTCGGTGTATAATGTCGAGGACGTGGTTGGATACAAGGTCGAATGGTCCACAAGGATAAGGCCTGGTCGCGCAGCGCATAGAATCTGGCGGTAAACTGACAGAGCAACGTCGTCGTTTGCAACGCAAGCATGGATGATGTTGCAGCCCTTTGCTATGTTCTCTAATGTGTCTGCTACTTCAAAGAAGCCTCGTGCAGCAAGTTCTTTGGCTTTGCCCCGAGAACGATTCCATAGCTTGACCTTTGGGAATCCTTGTTTTTGGGCATAGCTGGCCAGGTTTAGGCTCATCACAGAGCCCATATTCCCAAGGCCGACGAAGCCAAATGACGGGATAGCAGAGCTTTGAAAATCGGCCATCTTTCCAATAAGAGAATTGAAGTAAACAGAGAGGTAGGTAGTAGATTTATTGATGGTATTAGAGAGAATACCGAGCAATGCTGAAATTCCATCTTGTATGCGGTCTTATACCTAGTTGTTGTGGTTGTATGATACTCAAAGCCCCGCCATGAATAGGAGGTCTTGATACCTCCAAGTACGGCAACTCTCCGAAGAGTATAGGGCAGCGATGAGTGGCAACCCCGCGGCAACTTTCCGGGCAATATGGAAATACTCCACGATCTCTCTAACCGATCTACACGGGAATGATGTAATCCATCTATATATATGGCGCCTTGACTTAGGATGTAGTCGAAATTGACAGGACTATTCCACGTTTAGCAGTGGGTCTATTTAGCTCGATATCGCCCTTGAGGTTTCTATATTGCCCCTATTTATCTCAAAATTACATATATCGTCATCTCCGGGTTTAACAATGGCATCCACAGATATCAGCAAGAAGCTCAATGGCCGTGTCGCGGCTGTCTCTGAGGGTCACTGGGTTGAACCGACTGCAGAAGTTAGTCCGGTGAATGGGCTACCATTCTATAAGCCAACACCCGCCGATATTACCATAAATAACCATGAAGATGATGATAAGGCCAGGATTTTGTTCAAGAATGTCAACATCTTTGACTCCACTGGCGCGGACCCCTATCTGGGCGATGTTCTTATCGAAGGGGAAAGAATTAAGGCAGTTGGAAAGGTTGACGCAACCCCTGATTCCGACACCCTAGTTATCGACGGAAAGGGCAAGAAGACCCTCATGTCCGGTCTTATTGACTCCCATACCCACTTCAGCTGGAACAACTCGCCGACTTTGGATGGATTGACCAGAACACCGCTAGAGGAGCATGTGATACAGACAGCACACTCAGCGAAGACATACCTAGACTATGGATACACGATGTGTTTTGGAGCGGCTTCCGCACGACCCCGTCTCGATATTGCTGTCAAGCAAGCTATTAAATCCGGCCTAATTACAGGCCCTCGCTCCCTAGCCAATTGCCAGGAGATAACGACGACGGGCGGTGCGATAATCCCAAGTATCAGTCAATTCGCAGACGGCCCTGACGCTATGCGCCAGGTCGTGCGCAAATCTATCGAACTTGGCGCCGACAATGTTAAGCTGAGTATGACAGGAGATTATACTCATGAAACTATGGGGTATGTATACTTCTAAATAAATCTCACCCTACGTTTATTGGACGGATGTCGAACTCATTCTATTTTCTTTAATTGGAGTTCTTGATCTAACTAGCGTTAAAGAGTTTTGCTAATTATCGATCATACGAACAGGAGCGAGGAGACCTACTATACTCTGGCTGAGACCAAGGCGGCCGTTGAAGAGGCCCACCATAGGGGCAAGCGTGTGTGCACCCACGCCCGGTCCGCAGCTTCAGTGAAGATGTCGTGTTTAGCCGGTGTCGACATGATCTACCACGCCAGCTACGTTGATGCCGAAGGGCTTGATATGCTCGAGGCGCTCAAGGACAGGGTCTACGTAGCGCCGGCTATCAATTTCCCTCTGCTTAGCTGCACAGGCGAAGCGACTCCTTACGGCCTCACGCACGAGATGGCCAAGAAAAGGGGTTTAGTCCACGAAGTGGAAACTGCCAAAAAAGCTATGAAGGAGCTCAAGAGACGCGGAGTGAAGATCCTTCCTGGGGGCGATTATGGATTTGCCTGGGCACCCCACGGAACCTACGCAAAGGACCTTGCCCATTTCGTCAACTTATTTGGGTATACTCCTAAGGAATCTCTCATCGCCGCGACGGCCCTCGGAGGAGAGCTTATGGGCTACCCGGACGACTTGGGGAAGGTATTGCCTGGATACTACGCCGATGTCATCCTAGTTGACGGGAACCCGTTGGAGGATATCGAGCTCTTCCAGGATGCTTCCCGGCTGCACACTATCGTGATAAACGGGCACGTCCACAAAAATGTGATGGATATCGAGAACGGCACGCAGCGCGTCGTAATAGGTAGCACCCCGAATAACTCCGGAGTTGGTCCTAACTTAGCCATTTAAAAGAACTAGGAGTAGCAAGATCTGGACGCATAGGGTACTACGGTTGACGTATGTAATTTAGTTTGAGCCCTACACACTAAATTGGCATCTTGCTAGGGCGTTGAAATGGGTGTGGTTATATATTCATGGATCATCATTGTTCAAGCGACATACGCACCATTGATTGGAATGCGATGAAGCCTTCGTACTTATTTATTCCGTATGTTATTTTGCCTTGGCATATTCGTATAAATGTTTCCAGCTTGCCTTCATACCCGACGTAGCCTCCTGGCCTACTTATGCATATAAATGTCCTGCTACCGGAGGCTGTACGTCATCCTCCTCAACACCGAAGCTGAGGTGCTCTACAGCTCCCTCATGCTCGTATTCGGCGTACCACTCCGGCGGCATCTGGACAACACCCCAGCGAATCCTGCTTCTGGCAAGATTTCTGAATCCGCTCCGCTCATCATTCCTGTCTCCATCTCCTTGATTTTCGAAGCCGATGAGAAGTCTCTCTGGAGCTATATATTCCCAGGTAGGTGGATGGTGAGTCATTACTAGCTGCTGCATCTCGATGCTATCCGGGCCTGCCTCTGAGGCAGTTTGCTCGACTGGGTAGTGTGGCAGCGATGTGGGGTTAGAATGACATTCTAAGTCGGCCAAATCAGGGGATATTGAGTTCATTTGAGCAGTTACGGCATGCGATAGCCTCGATACGTGACATGCGGCAGAAAGCGAAAAAGAATTGGATCCAATATTCAACATGTCTGATGGGAGCCGTTTAACACTCAGGATGGGGGGGATTGTAATCAAGACACATGTTACTATTAGTATCGTCATGAAAGCGTATATTGAATAACCCACCGCAACGGTGGTTTCGGGTGGTAAGTTGGGATCTGATTCAAACTCTTTGGAGTGTGTATAATAGCCTGGAATCTTATTAGATGATATTTCCAACGGGATACTAAGATCCCAACTGGATAATATACATAACTCCAGTAGACACAAAAATATAAATTGTGTTAGAGAGCAGCCAGTGGAGTGATATGCTAACAAATATCAGCGGTATACTATACTTGTACGGTAGCTGTAGCCTATATGTCGCATATTGCTCGCCCTAAATACCGTCCGCATCATTTGTCAACCCCTTGATATATCATCTATGTTGAAGGCTTACCTGTGGATCCGTAACCCGAAGGGGTTGGTAACCCTGACTAAACAGTGACCACTCTCGGGCCATACGAAGACGAGTAAACAAGTTATTGTAGATAAGATAGCAAAGCGACAGCAGAAGTTGCGGGCTATTAGCTATCATGACTGCTTCGGCAAACCTATGTCCATATCCGACAAGATCATTCTGATCGCCTTCGAAGAACGAGCCCTATCTAACGTCTATCAGATATCTTCTCATGGCTTAGTAGGTACAATATGGGGTATTACTAACATGCCTTCATTATATCGGTATACGTAAGTAAATAAACTAGCACAGGCCAGAGTAGTGAGAATTAGAAATAAGTAGCTTGCTTTCCAGACAGGCTTAGGTATTGCTGCAGCGCGTCGTCTGTTCAATGTTTGCCATTGCCTTGTCCCCGATGATATAAAGACATGTTTATCTTCCAGAGTTTTTCGAGCGTCGTCTTGTCCAAAACTGCAGAAACCAGCAGTTGTAGGATCATGTTTCTCGATAAAAGAAGCCATAGCATCCCCCAGTGTGACTAAGGGCGTCTGCTTTTGGTTGATTAAAACCCCAGTGGCTAAAATAGCCGTACAGGTTTTAATAACAACGCAGATAGTAACACCCATTAAGAGCGCCGGCGAAACCCCAATTTGGCAGTTGTTATCGAGTCGTTCCGCAAGACAGTATTCGATTGATAACTCGGGGGCATCTAGAGGTACGGCGGAAGTGTACTCCCATATTTCGCGGTGGGTATTATTAATAATTGACAACAGGTCCGCGTTAAAATAATAATGCCAAATTGGACCTTGAAGAGCAAATTCCGCAAGATCATAAGAAAAGGGGTCATCCCTCAAAGAATCTATACAGGAATTCCTGCATTCACCGGGATGAAAATCCAATAAAAAGGCTGTCATATTACACTGGGCGTTGTAAAACAAAGAATTGGATTGGTTTGAAGGGACATACTTATCCCAAAATCGGGATTGAGTGGCATTAAAGTGCCACATTTCCTAGTGCAGGTAATTAAAGAAGTTAGCTCTAATTGCCCGAACCCATCTATTGGTGTCGTGTGATTTATGAACATACTACTAGTTGATTAGATCATATATACCGAGTATAACTATTGATAGATATATGGAGGTTTGATATAATATTTCTATACATACCATCTCTGATCCAGCCACCAGGCTGAGAAGTAACTAATACGAGGTTTCCATGGCGCTTCAGGCCCACGCAGCTATCACCTGCGTATTCTTGCTTACATTCGCTGTTTTCGATTCTTTCCCATCCTTGTGAATTTCTTGCTGCGGATGATATTTCCCTTGAGATCTCGAATCCGTCATTTAATGGATCAAATATGACCCCATCAACGAGTAAGCTTGCTCCAGGTAGATAAGAAGTTGCCCCATGTATAAATTCCTCTGTGGCGATTGTCAGATTGAAATAAGTCCCTCGGCAGTCCGTCTCAAGTATTGTAGAGTTGAACAGAACATGAATTGGGATGGAACTGGCGAGTAGAATGACCCAGCAGATTGTCTTAAACTTAGAGACGTGGAAGACATTTCGAACGGAGGGTACACCAATCCCCAACCACGAGCCCTTGAAATGAGCTACGTTGACCTCTTCTCTAGACGGTGAGTTTAAAATTTGCATGAAAAAGTTACTTGAAGCAAGTCTAGCAAGGCTACAATCAGCAGGTCTATTCCACATTAATTTCAAATATAAGAAGTGCAGTTATGAAAGAGGATATCACTAGAGAGACCGCTCTCTTAGTTGGTCATCGATTCGTCTTTTGATAAAGTGGACTAGACAGGGTTTACATACTAAGAGGTCAAACGGTCAATATAAGCATACTGAAGGGAAATCAATGGAGTTTAATAAATAATTTAGGGACAAGACTTACCACGAGAGTTGATACGACATTTATGAGTAAGTGGAATGCTGTATTTACCTTCGAAACAAGACCCCTATCGCAATCACCACCGTAAAAGAATAGTATTTTCTGAACACTTCGAGCTTGTAAAGCTGTTGCAATCGAACACCCCACTAAGGTTGCGGACATACAGACGAGAATAATGCAATTTATTTTTGCTGCTTTCTTCCAACCAGTGGATAGACTCTTGTGGCGCTTAAATGCGCTAGGATTGCCCATTTTCAGAAAGCCTATACTAGGTACTACTAAGTTGGTTAACTGATGAATGAAATAATTGGTGTAGATTTGTTCCCGGAGGTTGTTGATCGAGGAGTGAAGGATCTTTCAAGCATGCCACTGCGAAGAAGTTAGGGTTATATACTTGAGGCCTACTCCTGCCAAGTCTGCACTTCGTAGTACACTTGGGGTCAACTTTTAAGGGGCAGGTATTCAGCATTGTGTCTAGTAGTTGCCAAGAGAGGCATAGACGTAGCACAACATAAAGACGGCGCGCATATATGCTTTAGGTAGCCGGCAGTGAGAACCAACAATTGGCCAGGGTCGAATGCGGTTGATTAACAAAACGCGCGTCTAAGATATTTATATTAGATGATTTACCTTAGGTACCTAGATATAAATAGATCAGCGTATATGCACCTAGGCCTAACCCGTAGATGGTATTGTAATGAGCTTTCTTATACAACATATCTACCTAGGTAGATAAGGTGCTTTTCTATGACCCCCCAAATGGCGAAACGCCACAGACGCAGATTCCTAGCCGGAAGCCGTTCTGTTGAAAATGTACCTAGCCTGGATCAAGTTACCAGCATTAAATCTTACAGAGCCAGGGGATGTGATTTAGCAGGCTCTACTGGTACTCTGGGGACATATACACCACGAGCGTTATTCGACCGACCTGAAATCGGACATATATTCTACCTCAATCGTAGCGAAGGAGGTGGTCGCAACATACAGCACTTTCGTTTCGCGGCGACCGGATTAACTGCAGATTTTAATAATCGAGTAACTTTCATACCGGCAGATTTAAGCAATCCTTCTCCTGGCGTTGAAGAGGGAACATACAACAAATTGCGTTCTCGAGTTGGACTCGTTATCCACAACGCTTGGCCAGTGAACTTCAACTTGGAATTGCAAGCTTTTCGACCGCATATGGCTGGACTGGTGAACCTATTTGCCCTCTCAGCAGCTTCTACGACGCAGAGGATGCGTATTGTTTTCATCTCTTCGATAGGCGCTATGGCAGGACGGTCAGTTGATTCCGGGGCGGCCCCTGAAGCGGTACTCGAGCGCCTCGATAGCTCCGCTGCCAATGGATACTCACGGAGCAAATTTACATCTAAACACCTTTGTAACATTGCTCCCAAGCACTTGGATATTCCTATCACAATTACGCGGGTCGGCCAAGTCGGCGGTGCCGCTCGCCATCCCGGCTTGTGGAATCCCTCCGAGTGGCTCCCGAGTCTTATCGTCAGCTCTTTACACCTTAGTTATCTACCCAGTGACCTAGGGCCCCGATTCTCCGAGGTCGACTAGGTGCTTTCGGATATGCTGGCTGACGTCGTGGTAGACCTTGCTGCATCCCCCACCCCCGAGGGGACAGGCTCTGGTGCTGTCATATTCAATCTGCGCAATCCAAGCACAGGAGCGTAGGATACGTTTTTGCCGGTGATATTGGAGGAGTGTCACGAGGTGGAACCAAGCAGCATGTAAACAACTTCGTTGTTCCGCGAGGAACTCTAACCTATCTGGCGAGCCTATGGCTCGTATATACATACATGTTCTTTGTCCTAGATGTCTCATCTAGAATCCTGACATCCGCCAAGTGGTCACGGTACACACCTTCGATGCCATGGCCGAAGAGCCCGAAGAACCAACCCGTAAGAGGTCATCACTCTTGATAAATGCCGCATTGCACTGCCGGAACACGCCTTAAGCCCTATTATTTTTCCGACTGTGCATACATCTCGACGAACACAGTATGCGACTCCTCGCGTGACCATAGGTTGCTAACATGGAACAGTCTGATAGGTACATACCTAAGGTAGGTAAGTAAGCTACCTTAAAAGTAGTTGGACGCTCAGTTTTATGGAGAGAGTAACCTTAGGGTAGGAAATAGGTAGCAAAAGAGAAAACTACTGGCTTCGATAATCGCCTGCACCTTCTCTATATACAAAGCAATGCTTATTACGCGAGATGTAGGCCTGTATTATAAACGGACCGGCAAGCTATACCGGAGAATTCACGGGGAACTGCTGGCGAACATGTAGGATAAGCAGGCTAATTAGTGGGCTAGCCTGCAGGTTCGTTTCTTATTTGTGCGTAGGAACGAAAGTCGGGGTTTGAAAACCCTTGGATTCACACGCTGTTGGTGACAGTATGTAGATCTGTGTATGTAGATATGTATGTGTTAGGTTAGGTAGGTACCTATGTATGTATGTACATGATGTGAATCCTGCGGTGAGACGTGAGCCGATGTATTGAATAGGCAGGTGTTCCATTGCGTACGCAGAGTGGCTAGGTAGGTAGGTAGGTAATACCCTCCTTCAACGTGGATTAACATTGAGGCAGTTCGAGTCGTCCTTCCTCCGTTATGACCTTGAGTACCTAAGGTTGCGGCTTATTCTGACCTTGGCGCTTTTCTTTTTTTACATAGCCTTAAATCTGATGGTACACTTACTAAGCGGCGGTAATAAAAGTGACAGGTGGAATATGACAGTTTCCCTATTCGACTGTGAGAATCGAGTACCAGTTTTCCGGCCCCCGAAACTCCTAGGGTAGGCCGGAACCCTTTGGCATTAGGAGGTAAAAGCACTTGTAGGTTGGCTTGGATAGTTATTTAGAGGGTACGAAAATAATAAAACAAGGTCCCATGATACATATATGTCTCTTTCTTGCTGGGAATATTTCTGAATATTATTTATTATCATCGTAGCCAGTAATGTTGAAGACAACTAATTAAGAAACTCTTGCATAGCGTCATGATGGACCTTCTTCACGAGGCTTTCTCGCAGTGGTGAATACGCTAGGACCTGTCAGTACTAGTTGGTTAGAACGATGAGGATGAGGGGATTATCTTACGCTCTTATGTACGGTCTTATTTGTCCAGAGTAGATTTCTTGCCAAAACGGGGGCATTCGAGCGTCATATTCGGCTTTTGTCCATCCGCCTTTCTGGAACAATAAGCCGCAGTGGTTGTCCAATGTGCCTATAGGAAGGTTAGGATGATTCGATTGCGCGCGGGACTTGAACCCTATACTAAAGTTTACGAATTGGGTGAAGGGAATGAAAAAAAAAAAAAAATAGATAAAAGGCACACTCACAATAGTCTTCGTTTGTTATCTTGTTCACTAAACTCTGCCGTGTCTTCATCTTCTCGTCTTGGGCCCAGCTCCCGAGCGGAAGTATCTCGCTCCGCTGGACTACCTTCTCAAAATCGATCTCGACCAGCCAGTCGGGGACGTGCGGTGACGGGTTAAAATCCATATCGACCTTTTTGTATAAGTCTCGGCAAATCTGTAGAAACTCGGGGCACATTTCCGCCTCGGCGAACTTGCCATCAAAGTCGAAAATATTCAGGGCGATCTCCGTCATCTCGAAAAGCCCGCCTGGTTTCAGCTTGTTATATACCTGGCGAAATAACGCCGGCCAATCCCGCACGCCACCGGCCAGGCTCCGTGCGTGGATGAAGTCGAACGTGTTATCCGGGTATTTCCACGGATTTTCCACGTCGTCGATCTCGAACTTGACGTTCGGCGGTATCCCACCCCTTCTCTGTATAGGGTAGACGTCTACTCCGGTTATTTGGGCTTGGGGGTAACGGGCTGCCATTTCTATAGCCCAAACGCCGGTTCCGGTACCTAGGTCTAGTATTTGAGTTGTGTTCAGTGGTAGCCGTGTGGAAGTCAAGGCTCCGTCCAAGCAGTGCCTGTATAGCTTGTGTTGGATTTCCATCCTCTCTAGTTCGTTCTTGTCGAAAGGTAGAAATATCTTGCCGGAGATATGATAGCGGTGACCAAAAGCTTCGATAAATGGCATGTCTTTTAGTCTTGGGTCTACAGCATCAGTATCCAAGCTAGAATCACTGCTGTCCTCCATAGCGCGTTCGCCCTGAAGTGTTGGGTTATTTAAAAGTAAGTAAATGTCTGGAAATTCTCTTCGCCTACCTCGTGTTGGCTCATCTCCCCCACCTCCTTCTTTCTCGATGAACGACTCATATCCAAGGCTTTTGTCAACTTAATTCTTAGGTGCCTAGGTAGTTAACTCCTTTCTTCGCTTTTTGTGCTCGAATGATGCCTTCTACTATTTCTAAGAGCGAGCATGCCGTCCTGATATCTCATTGCGCGCGTTGCCTTCTTCTCTTCGGGATATCGTCTTAGGCGGTGCAAATGCCGGTGGATCCACCGCTTCTACCACAGTCCTGCGTTGGGGTTCCAGCACAGCTGGTCTACCGTTTAAAGACACTGCTCGTCAGCATTTGTACTGAATTACACGTTAAACTGAACGTCCAGTGAGCGACGGCATAATTACATCTATCGGCACGACGAGCCAACACATCGGTCGCCGGTCCTCGGCAAGTCCTGCCTTTGCAACCCCCCGAAGGCGTCTTGCGAGCCGATCCACGTCGGCTAGGGCTTGGGACTCAGGTGGTCAGATCTCTGTAACCCCCATCTTATTCGATCAAGTATGTCAAAAGCCGCAAGTTGCTGCACCAAGTATACATAAAGGTAAACAGCGTACTACTAGAACCTGAACCTGAACCTGAACAGGCCCTCCTACATAGGGGAATCCCGGAACGTACATGAAGGTAGCTAGCTAATGGATCCCACCTGCGACAGGATAATATTAAGAGGTGCAACAAACGCTGCAGTCCAAGTTGCATTTGCAGTGCGTGCTTTGCAGAAAAAGCCCACTCTGGGGAAGAACGGTATGTGGATAGGCTAGAACGGTCCGATTCCTACTGGCTCGAGAGCGGGACATGCCGGGTCGAAGCGCATCCTGCGATACTGACAGTTCGGCCCCTAGCTAGCTATCCGCGTGAACGATGATGTAGTGTAGTTGAGAGGACCACCAGATGACATGAGGAGTGTGTTGTGGCATCGGACGTCCAACTCATCTAGTGGGCGTGACTGCACGTAGAGGTATTGTAACCGCATTGTAACCGCAGGGGTGAGTTTCTTGTCTTCTAGACTTTTTTTTTTTCTTGAAGCGCGCATGCAGTGGTTCTGTGCCCTTGTCCCTGCAGGGACGTCGACCAGTAAGCGCCGTAGGTTCGGGGGCTTACCATGGCCAAACGACCCCCTAATGCAACCTTATGATGTCCATCGGTGGATAGCGGTGACTGGCATTCTTTGACATCAACTCGTCTACATACACTAATGTCACGACCCTGGCATTAAGTGCCCCAGTGTTTTCAAGCATATATATCTTAGTTCGGTTAGACTTATATACATAGGTACATAACCGACGGCGATGACCCCTGATAGGGTTTTGTTCCAGAAAGATATCGTGATTACCTATTCATATTTACATTTTTATAGCCACTTCAATATAAATCCTTAGGATATCATGTCTACTTGAGTTGGTGGCTAAGTTGGGTAGATGTTAGACGTAGAGACCAAGCCCTTGATGCGAGACGGTATTAACCGTAACATCGTCGTATATAGAACGCGCATGTGCTCCGTGTGACCATATGGCCACGTGGATGACACTGACGTCTGCGTGTTCCTATATTAATGAGTTGAAGCTAATGCTTGTAGATGTTAGATGTAGGGCTGATTTTAGCCTCGCGCTTCAAGTTGATCGTTTTAGGGGTGGGGTGTTGAGTTCGTAAGATGTGTGTGTAGGAGGTATGTAGGTAAATTAGGAGGCAGGGAGGTAATGTGCGACACGGCAGTGCTTTAGACTAGAAGTATTTCCTGCATGTAATGGTTTTATTACATAGTAACTCTGCAACCTCTTTTACGCAAGCCTACCTCCCACCCTTGAGGCCCTAAGGATCTACGACTAGCTGCGGGAAGGCAAGAGTAGTGTAACCATAACTACACCCGTTAGCATCATGTCCACCACCCTAGCACGACAAGATCGTGGGCTTGGTGCGGCGGATCGATGCAGGCGAGACCGAAAACAGAAGTAGGGATTTACTTCCAAGACTGGTACTGGAGGACGACGGGGAAAAAAGGATTAACAGATGCTTGAGCTAAGGAGATGGGCCAAGAGGAGCGCCGGCGCCGTCGGCCGAGAATCGTAATTATATCCGCGAGTATGCTCAAGCAACCCCCACTTCATTGCGTTAAGCTGCAAGTGTTTCCTTGGAAGAATAAGACGCCTGCAGATCCTGGCATGATGTTGGGGTCATCAGGGAAAAAGGTGTTGGTGTTGGTGATGGTGAACATATTTTCATCACTCACCCGTCTCCGTATCCCTTCTTCTGTCACAGCGCAAAGGACTCGAGTTTATTGGTTGGTTTTCAACGGGCGGACTTCCTCCTGCGGCACAAGCGAATCGCGTAACGGAAGAAACAGTCGATAAACTTAAGGAGACGGGAGTGGGAGCCGGGAAATAGGAACTTACTTGTTCCCTCCTGAGTTTGTGGTCTAAAGGCTACCAGGTACCTACCAGATAGGTAAGATAGTAACCTAGTCACATACGATTCGTATAACTAACTTACCTAAGGTACATACATGTGAGTATGCTAGATACCTACATAGTCCGTGTCCTTTCTAACTTACGACCAGTGCAAGTACATATATCACACTCTTCATCACATGTATGTACTTTCGTGCTTTACTAGGCTATATTATAAAGTTTAGTATCCTACAGCACCTCAAGGCACACCCTAAACCATTATCTACCTAGTCAAGTAGCCTACATTACATCCAGGTGTGGGGTTCAGTAGCAATAATGACAGGTGTGATATTATATCGTAATAGCCGCGACAGAAATTTCTAGTCTACCACCTTCATGAACTGATTGGCCATGAAGACGGAGCTCTTCTGCCCAACGTCCCGCTTCTTGGGCGGGACTTTAGTCCCTATTTTGGTCGGAATGGTGAATCTCGGCTTGCCAAAGGGTGCAGGAGCATGAGCAGATGCTGTCCTCTTAGCCGTGGTTTTGTTTGCCGAAGAGTCGATGGCACCGTAAGCACACTTGCCACCTTTGAAAGCTGCCGTTGCGGCCGCTTTCCATTGCTCGGTAATATCGGTAACCATAGGCGCTGTCCACCAGAGCCGGCAGTCAGATTCCTCGACGACGAATTGTGCGGGAATGCCATCCTCAAGATTGCCAGGGAGGATCTGGTCTTTGACGTTGAGGCTGGCTGCCGTACTGCGTTCGATGACGTACGTCGTATACTTGCCTAGCGTCTCGAGGATAGTCGAGTCATTCGTATATTTTCGGGCCGTCAGGGCCTGCGAATAGACGTCTTCGAAGCCGTAGCTCTGCGACCCCTTTACTCCACCGACACCCTGAATAAGACCTTCCTTGGTCGGCCGTCCGCCCATGGCTATGCTCTTCACACCCGCATTAGACCTGAGGAATTCGGCGAATAAAGTGCATGTTGACGCGCAGTACCCATCGAGCAGGAGTACAATGTTCTCGGGCCCACCGAACGGGCGCGTAAAGTTCTGACGGCTACGGTAGCCCGTGATATCGGTGCCGAAGCCGAAGGTATCGTTACTGGTACTCAGGGGGTCGTTGAAGTTCCATTGCATCAGGTTCGTGTAAGTATCGCCGCCAAACTCCTGTGGTGCAAATTTGTCTTCGTAAGACGTGAAGTTTCCGTTAGTAATGTTGAGGTCATATCGCCAGTTGAAGACAGATTCGTATGCGTTGATGATCTCGGCAGGGGCAGTATTTGGGTCGAAGTCGGCAGAGATATCAGAAAATACCGTAGAGATAGCCGCAAACCCGGGGTGCTGCCGCCATCGTCCCGTTCCTTGTTGCACTATATCCGGGAACAGCTGGCGGAAACCATCGTATCCGAGGAAGATATAACCACCGCCGTTGGCCTGTACGTCGACGACGAGCTTCTTCTTGCCCGCATTTACTGCAGCTGCGTAGAAATCCTGAGCGACACGCTGGAACTCAACTGGGTCTTCGGGTGAAAAGGAGAGCATGACAAGAACTGCTACGTCTTCAAAGCCAGGTTGATCTATGAAATAGCCAGAAATAGAAGAATCTCCAGCAACGATGACAGGGTCGGGATATCCTACGATGGGGACTGCGCTCGTAGCCGCGGGTGTCGCCGTCGCGGACGAAGTCGTAGTAGCAGTCGTCGAAGCGGCCTGGGCTTGAAGAGTTGCACCGGAGCAGAAAGTCTTAAAGAAGGACGGGCCGTCAACGACGCCCGCCCAGGTATTCTTCAACCTCGCTATGTTCGGTCGGTCAAGCACCGTTCCATTTTCGAATGTGAATGAGGTGATGTTGCCGGGATAAATATATCTGAACAATTGTTAACTTATTTTTAAGGTACAGCCGAGCCGTTTTCATAAATCGTACCTTACGCGACCTCCCGTCTGGAAATACCCTTGGTTATTATTCTCAGCTACGAATGCTTTCTCGAAGAACATGGAGTTGTAGGCGGCGTCGGCATCCTGGTTACCAGAAGCCTGGTTGATCCAATCCCCGATATAAGTGGCAGCGTCTACTCCGTTGATGAGCTTCACTGCAGACGCCGTCTCTACGCCAGAAACAACATCGTCGTACACCTTAATTACCGGTGCAGATCCGTCAGGGCCCTCCTCGCTAATCGACACCAAGGCGAATGGCCTCTGCCACTCAAGAGCGCTGGACAAGGCATCAGGGTAAACTACAAAGTGACCGTCGTGTGCTGGCCCGAAGAGTCTGTTGTACAAATCCGATTGCCAGGCATATTCGTTAGGGTATTTGTCCGCGGTGATACCAGCCTTCACATCAGCTATCGTCGCCCAAAGATCCGTGGGTGGATAAAAATAATCGGCCGGCGGATTTTTCTTAAAGGCAGTGTCCGACTGCCACTCGACATATGGCTCTAGCTCATTGATGAATTTGAGGGCAGCATCCTTATCAATTGGGACTGAGTTGAGACACTCGTACGCGATTGACGCCTCAATGGTGGGAGTGGGAGTGGCGCTAATCTGAGCGGCCCACGAAGCACTCACAATGGCGCACGGTTCTGTGGGACTGGCCGTTGCCGTTGCCGTTGCCGTTACCGTCGCCGAAGTTGTTGTGTTTGTATCTCTGTAAGCTATTCTAGAACTGTTCGCCAGAGAAGCAAGCGCCAACGCGCTGACAGCGGAGGACTTCATGGCTGTGAACTACCAACTACTTCTTCTACTGCCTTACTATCTTAACCTCTTGACAGGCACACGAAGATAAGTAAAGGCAGGCAGTGATAACATAAGGGAGCTCGACGCGTAGACATACATATACGAACTTATACATACCTCCCAGGGCATATAATCACCCCCGCGCCGCGCACGAGTCCCCAATCTCTTATGGAGTTAGTTACTTGTTTAGGTAGGTGACGCGCCTCTCGCTTTAATCGATGGGGGGAAGATCTTGATTGAGAGATGGAGAGGCCAGGGGGGGATGGTGGCACGGCATGAAGCGATCCGTAACTTGGGGGCTACGCTATCAACTTGCATCTGTAAGTAAGCATTGACATTACCAGGTAGTTAGACATACACTACATACCTATATAAATACTATACTATGCCTAGGTATATAAGAGCTTACTAGACAATAAATAAATAACAATAATAAATACATAATAAATACATCTTCACAGTAATTTGCAATATGACTACATACCAAGCTCATACTATGCTGGCTTTCACTCTATCACAATAGTTACATCATTCCTGGTATTCTGAATACCTACCTAATCCAGGCCCCACGATCCCCTCCCAAACCTCGTGTCCGATTTAAGGAGGCAGTACGATCCCATCGCTGCGGCAATCCAAGCTAGCACGCCTTTTGCGGACTCCCTAGCGTCACCGTCCAACATTCGTTTAGACCTATGTATGTGACGATAAGCCGTGGAACAACTAGCTACCTACGTAAAACCAACCACGTCCGAGACTAGATAACTCTTCGCATGTAAACAAGTAACCAAGATGCAAACATCGGAAACAAAATCTGTATACATATTCCGTACTATGGATGATATGCCAGCATCTTAACCCGGCAACGGAGACTAGTTTTTACATATGTACCTACATACATTTAGATTAGTAAAGAAACAAAAGCAGCCAAGTAATTTTTTTGGCGGTGAGAATTCTTGGCGTCTGCTTTCGAATTTATGCCCTGGCGTCGATCACTAAAGATGATGTGATGTGCCTTACATGCTCAATTTCCGACCCCTGTGCTTACCAGACAACATACAACATACGTTGACATATCACAGTCCAAGCGCTATTATCGATACCTAACATGTTATATTGTTATGTAATTAGGTAGTTATGATGTATGTATTACTCTTGTTCAGAGATATCTACAACTCTGCGAAGGGAGGCATTGTAACATGAATTCCCCACCAAGACATTCCTACGATATCTGTGCCTTTCCCCTCAGTGGCACAGAACCAACCGGCGGTTTATGTAGGGCTACCTAGGTATCTTTCCATGTTACTTCTCCAATTCCGATATTGTCGTCAGAGCACGAAATACGCAGCGAACAGCCGCAGAGTCGGTGACATAGTATGACACTAGCGAGAACGCCCTTCTGAGGTGGAAGTCTTGAATTACATTTCCAAGTATAGTACATCGTAATATCAAATAGTATTGCGCGGAATACCTTCTCATCCACGATTCCGATCATAGAATTAGTTAACAGTATTCGGTTTGTCCCGTCGGTGCCAACGACCTGTGAAAAATCCCATCCGAGAGCAGAGCCTCAGCTGCGCCGACCCCGATGAACTTCCACACCCCGGCCGTCCGCTCTTGGTTAAGATTTCTGGCCGTCTGATCTGGAATGATCTTAGCCAAGAGGGCGAACTCCTGGTCGTCACGGTCCGAATTCTGGAAGAATAGTCTCGGCCATTCGACGCCGACGCTTTTCTCGGCTGCGCGCATCTCCCGCTGTGCATCTTCAATCGTACTCTTCTCGTCGCCAACGACATGCATACTCCCGGCACCGATCCCTTCCGCCACTTTGCTCCATGCTTTTCGCGATTCCCAGGAGCTTTGCTCTTCGAGAGATTTGGTTTGAAGCTCCGCGAGAGGCACGTCGTCGATATAAAAATCGTCGATTTGTTTCCCATTCGTACTATCTACGATTGTAAGTCGGTCGTTCCATTGACCAGTGACTTCGAACATCATCTTGTCCCCGTCCCGAACATTAGAAATCTCCGCATGTACACTATTCTTCTTCCCAGATCCTAACATGCTCTTACCTTGGAAATCGATGGTTGCGAGATATCCCGAGCTTGAGGATATGTAACAGGTGCCTTCTAGTTCTGGGTACGGCCGCCCGACTGGTAGCCCCTTTATCACTATGGTCGGCAACGTCATCAGATGACTTTCGCCGTGGCCCTCATCGCGGATGATCGCGTGCCCAATTTGCTTCACCCGAACACCCGAAGCGGGATTAAAAGTTATCTCTTGTGCTACGTAGCCCGAAGATGAGATGCCGTGAATTTCGTTATATAGGCAACAGGCCGTCACTGGTGGATGGTGTGATACCTGTTCACATATCAATCTCGTTGTGCTTCCGTCATTCCCTTCGAAAGTGCCCAGGAAGAGTTCTCCCAGGAACGCATTAAGCGGTTTTTTGACTCCGTCGTCGCCGCAGTCATCGTCGGAACAACCTTTAGAAGTGGCCGCAGTATAGACCTGGCGCTTTAGACTACAGAGGAAGTTCTTAAGTACTAGAAGAGAGCGTTGCGCGGCATCTTTTTCCTGTGCTGGCTGCATAAATAAGTCGTGACGCTCGGCCCAAGAGGCCGGTATCTCTAGTACCGACTTAGGTGAAAGGGTGAAGGGCGGAGCGGTGATATTTGAAAGGTCACCTTTAACGGTTACTAAGTAAGACAAGAAATCTTTCAACTGGGAGATGTTTGATTGCGACTGGGCCATCTTCACGTAAACGATGAGAGGCTGTTGTCGTCGGTAAGTAACGCGAGCTTCTTATTCAACTTCAGTCTTCAGGTTGGGTGTCTAGTAGATTATATTAAGGGAATCTGATACATCAAGCGTAAATACCCTGTGACGAGTGTTAACAAAACCGGTGCATATCTACCTAATTGACGACGCAGTTGATGACGTTGTGTGGCGTCGTAGTGTTCTAGATTAGACAGGGAACTAGAACAGCTGGTCCAACATATTACGCAATATCTCCATTTCAACCGCGTCTATGCCTCTAATAGTCTCGAAAGTGAAGACATGGCCTTCTCGCTAAATTCAAGCATATCGGAGCACTTCTCCGGTGCCTTGCCATCAAACACTTCGATAGACAACCAGCCCCTAAACCCAGTCCCAAGCACAGCCTTGAGAAAGTCTTCAACGGGAAGATAGCCCCCGTCGTAAGGTAACGGCCGGTAATCGTGGCTCCATTGGCCCCTCGGTCGTAACCCCTTCTTGTCGGCCTTCGCTTCTATGGGGGGTTCCATCTTATAGGCGTCCGAAATCTGCAAGAGGTAGATTTTCTCGGGCGGGACTGTTTTGCTTAGTTCGGCCAGGCTCTGCTTCCATTTAGCTTCGAGATCCTCCCGCGAGATACCCTCAACCAATCCAGACTTCGTAGTCGGGTCTGCCCACTCGCCGCCACCGCTCTGGAAGGTATCCAGACATAGACCGAGATTCGGCCGGTCGGCCTTCTCGACGATACGCCATACGTCTCTCCAGCTCGGAGCGTGCGTAGCCCAGCACCAGTTCTCGTACGCGATGCGCTGCCCTCTGGCGGCGCACATATCCGCCAGCTCGGCCAAGTCGCCAGCTAAGTCGTCGATGGACGACGATATCCCGGGCGCGTCGGATGATCCTACTTGTAGCATGTCCGTGCCCACAGCTTCCATGATACGCATCCAACCTTCTGCACGCTCAAACGCGTCCTTCCTTGCGTCGCTATCCTTCGGCCAGCCTTCGAAGTTGGCGAATGGCTGCAGCATCAGAATCTTGAGGTTATGCTCATCCGCCTGCGTTTTGATCGCCTTTCCGATCTCGACTAGTGCGTCGTAATCTTTAGGGTCTAGTTCCTGGCTGTAGAGCATCTTACCATAAGCCAGGATATCTGGCATAGACAGTTCGATAGCATCAAATCCGGCATCGGCTATTGCCTTGAGCTTCAAGGGAAGCGTGTGTGATTCCTTATGTCCGATACTGCAAGTAGCATAAGATGTTGGAACTTTTGTACCTTGGTAATCTAGAGGCATTTTGCGATAAATTTGATTTTAGTTAGCTATATTGTTATATCTAGTTTTATAATAATAAATTTAGTTGTTAAGTTGTCAAGTTGAAATAGTAAGAAGAGGATTTGTGTATAGACCTACTCTTGTATATACTCTTGAATCGTATTTCTGATGACGTCAACGAATGTAGAGCACAGCACGTATGCAGAGCACATAACCTACGTAACCTTTATGTAAATATTCCGTACTATGCATATTCTATACCTACGTATATTCTTTCTATTCTAACAGCTTTCTTTCATCGATGCACAGGAAGCGAATAATAGCTAGCTTATACCAGCTACCTGACGCATCTTAATTCTTATACGCAACTCTATATATTACTCTGGGTTAAGCATCTCGATAATCCCAAAGTAAACGCCCACGAGGAGGAACGTTTAAAGGTTATGCACAAGATCTATATGGCCATTTCCGTCCAATAGGGGGAACAGGTTGAGGGCGCCGAAAACGTGATCAATCCGATCCTGCTGGTCCCTACCTAGAAAAGCACCGGCCGTGGAATCAAGCGAACAGCCTAATGATAGAAGGGCCGGATCGATGTCGTGGAAGGGTGAAGCGAATAGCTCGTGCGTTAGCAAATCTTGAGGCGCATTGGCTGATTCCATGTCTAATGGAAGAACCCCGAGCTGGCCAGTATCGGTAGGGAGGGTATCCTCCTGGGGCAATCGCTCTTTTGGCACCAGTCCAAATAGCTTAGACGAGCTCTCTGTGATTCGAAGACGCTCGTCAATGTCTTGCTTTTGGAGGTGCTTTAGAGCGCTGGATAGTAAAGACTTGGCAATAAGCGAGTATTGCAGAGCATGCGCATCGCTCCTTGCAAAATATTCCAGCCCACTTATAGACATCCGAGCGTACTTTTCGAGTATTCTTCCAAATCCCCCAAGGAGGCCAACACCAAGTACTAAGGATGAAGCAAAGAGCCATGAGCTTCTAGCGTGTTAGTATGGGATGAAGGAATTGAGTGTGATTACCTTACACTATCAATGGCATGCGTCCATCTAAGATCTGCCGATTTACCAAGTCCGCTATTGACTCAGCCATCAAACTTGCTGCGTCAATACATGCATTTGCAAGCCTCGTTCTCCCTGAGTTATCACTACCGCCATTGGACAGATTGGTCGCAGTAGGGATGTCCGGATCAGGTAAGCGCTTATACAACTCGTACATGAGGAAAGGCCTCGCTACTAGCATGACGGCATAATAATAAGAAGACATGACTTGACACGCGCCGATCATCTTCGCTTCATCCTCTCGAGGTGATTCTGCAACAGTTTGTTTGAGGCGAGGGAGCCACCTACTTGACCAATCTCGTAGTTGACGGGATATTCCCTCAGTAAGTTGGAAAGATATTTTTCTCCTAGAATATACTCGGAGTACGATTTCTTCTGTAATGGAGAGTATCTGCACCGATGCATTCAAAAGGTCGTACTGCTCTTGGCCGTTGGCGTTAAAACTTCGACAAGGCACCGTGCAATCTACGTCCGACATGGACGGCGGCCTACCCATAGATATGCTCAGAAATAAGTCTAGAACTCTCAAGCTCTTCCAAAGGCGGTCTCTATTACTGTTAGTAACAGTAGCAGTAATCCATTGCCATAGGGACCGTACCTTTGAGTATGCGTATCGGACCCGAATCGAGTATTTACTTCCGTTCTATGCAGGCCAATCGAGTATGCCGCCCGCGCAGCAATGCCTTTAACGCTTAGCTACGATGGTTCAGTATTCCGCTGTGTAACTTACCGAAGAAAAGATAAGCCCCGTTGATCTGACATGCTCGAAGCATGTATATGGTTATAAGGGCGAAAGCTTGAACTGTCTCGATTCCTAGATCACCACCGAGACATGAGAGGGCTAGGGTCTTCGCGTATTGAAAAGCCCCGGTAGCGGATTCTTCATTGCTAGACTGTGAACCGATGGCCAAAACTAAGTAATTGACTGCGGATGTTACGTTGGCGGATTCTCCTTCTTTAGCAATCCATGCCGATATATTACTCGCGAGGTTTTCATTCTCAAAGAGATTAACTAGTCCGGAGGTCTGCAATAGGGGTTAGACAATGATTTACACCAAATAAATACCTGATAAATAATCCAACAAAGTTACCACTGATATAAACGATGACACTAGCTGTCCGACAGTGGCAGAGTCCACATGTGGTTCCTTGCTGATAGCCGAAAATGACAAGTAGGAGGAAGAATTTTCCAACATTGAAACCCGACCCGTCTGTCCTGTTTGCGGAGTAAAGGCATTCGGATCTACCCGAGATGTCACAATCTGGCGAACAGTCTGGAAAAGTGAGAGCGGCGCGCAGTCTCCGACGAAAGCTGAGTTGACCTAATTAGTTTATTTATAAGTCTTTCCGAGAACGAACTTGAAACTGTATGCGTACTTAATTTTCCATGAGCGTCGCGCAATAAACGGGCTTCGCGGGGTACATCGGCTTCTTCCTCGGCGGAGGCGTCGCTGCGAAGGGTGATATCATCCGATGTGCGAATATGAGTTGTATGAGTTGTATGAGCGGTATGAATGCAAGTGGGTTCGGCGGAAGGAACGGGAGCATCGGTAGATACATCCGGCCCTACCGACGGAACGGATGATTGGGTTACGGATGTCTCTGGAGATGGCAAACGCGGTCTCCTCGGTCGGCGACGAGGCGTAGGGGAAAACCGGCACGTCGAATCTACCTGCCGACGCTTACAATAACTACAAGGTAAGTTTCCGTCGCATTTGACTATATATGTAGATACGAAGTGGTTAATTACCTCCTATATGTAGAGTTACATTTATATCTTACCTTTACGCTGTTTACACGTATCGCAAGCATTAGCGATCCGTATGCGAACCATCGGAGAAGACATTGCCGCTTTATTTACATATGCGTCAACATCGAAAGTGAAAGGGGTATATAATTGTATTTTGTATTATTACATAGTAGATTAGATAGAGACTTGGAATTAAGACATCCATATTGGATCGGACTTGACCTTGTTGGAACCGGATGTCGGAACTTCGGAAAGCGGAGAAAACAAAAAAGGGGGGACCCGATCTTACGGGATTACGTATTGTACGATGCCCCTGTGCATCTTTCTTCTTCCCACTTTTACAATAAGTCGCCTACGATATCCGAGCTTCCATACTTCACTTCACCACTTCATCCCAAATTTTGGTACGGTTTATCTTTATTCTACGAACACAATTAGGTACAATACCTAGGTACATGGGTAGATACCTAATTCTACCCCTATTTACTAGATGTCTTTGGCGTTATAATTCCCGCCAGATACGTTTCATCACGCGTCTGTTTTAGAAAGGGTATTAATGCCGTTCCCCCAGTCCCAGTCAACTGCCTTTCTGAGCCCTCCTTTGATCGCGATGATGCCGTAGCTAGATTCACCACCCGACCTTGCATCTGTTTTCTCGACGGTATAATAATGTATCGCGTCACGATTTGCATATGCTTATTGCGAAAGTCTCCAAGAGCTTGGGTAGCAGCTTGATAAGATCGCTGCATCTGTTCGTGTTTGTCCGAGCCACCTTGCTTGCTCGCGAGCTCCTTTATACTGCCCATTCGCGAGACGTCTTCTAAAAATGCTCTGTGCGGTGCTGGCATATAAGAGCGGGTCTCTTCGTGGAAACTTGTTACGGCTTCGTTCGTCCTCGACGTATGTTCGACTCCAAGGACAATGTCGAGGAATTGAATAAGCGAGCTCTGTCCATTGCTCCCACCTCTCAAGTGCTTCCAACTAAGCACTCCGTTCCCGTCTTCGTATAAGACGCCATTGGGGAGGCCTGAAGCAGCCATATTTTTACTTCCAGCTAGATACGGTCGAATCTGGTGGTAAAAGACCATCGGGTCGCATTTCTCATCCATCCGATCGAGTAGTCTACCAAGTCTCCCGATGCATATCTTTAGCTGGTCTAATGCCCTGATTATTGTCGAGTAATCTCGATGTTGGGTCGCCTCGAGTGCTTGGAGCATGGTCGGAATGATATAGGCGCCTTCCGCTTCCATTGCCACTGATACCGAGTAGAACCACGACTCGTCTTCTGTGCCGCTGAATGTATGCAAGGCTTTTAGCTTGTCAAGATCTCGAAAGTCGGGTCCACTACAAGTAAAGTTCCATAGGTTAACAGCAGCGTATGTCGCAACCGGCGGAAGGCGAAGGTGCTCCGAAACTTGAAGAAATGGTACTGATAGCGCTGGAGGAAGTACCTAACTGCTTATTAGCCACATGTGTAATAGGTCTATTAAGATTGGTTATACCTCTGATGCCTTCTCGCCGCCCCAGATGTACCCATGCGCTAAGAATGATAATACCACGTAAGCTCGCCGCCATTCTTCTTCCGTGTGTAGTTTGCTCGTCGAAAGTACCCCTATGGACTCTACAGCCTTTCGGATCGACTTGCTGTTTAGCAGTGATGGGAGATCATCCAGTATAGACTCCCACGGGGCATAATAATGGTGTGGTAGACGGCTTGGGGGTTCTCGTTCTGGGAGGAATCCGTTTCTCGAGACGGAATACTTATGAAGTAGGTCATAACGATCCGAAGATCTCTCGTCACAATCCGGTAAAGGTTGGGTACGACCTGGCATTATAAAGGGTTAAACTCTTGAAACTTGAACTATGGGTATTTATCCGAGTGAAAGTAATATAATAGTTGAGAGTTCCTTGCGAAGTAGCGAAGTTATTTCCATGCTGTTTGGTTCCACGTCGTGACACTGATCACGTATTTAAAGGTAAAGTAGGGAAAGGGGTTCGGATGTGCCAATACGTCGGATCTCGGATACCGGATCACGGAAGTGTCTTCGATAACACGAAGAGTTTCCGTTCTTCACCCCGTGGATATCATCGGTTGAAGTCTTATTTACTTTCTCGGTTGGAGCCAAGCTAATAGGATAGATGTCTCATGCTTATCTACTTTTTGTAAGATCATTTGCCTTCTATGCTCTAACCGTTGCAGACGAAATATGCTGATTAGGTAGGTATATTTTAGACTACGCTGTCGAAGTAATTACCCCTGGTAGTCTCTAAAGGTTAGGTACCTATAACTATATTCAAAGTAAACACATACTAGGTTAGACTTTGGGCTATAACACGATTTGAAGTCTCGAAGACTCGTCTGTAGTAAAGTCGTCCCAAATGACTTGTTTTTCAACTCCAATCTCAAGCGACGCGATAATGGCCGGGATCAGCTTCAAACTAGTGACCCGTTAATTGCATATTGACTCTACTTTGAGGGCTAAAAATCCCCTTAGAGTCCAGTCAAAAGAACGAGGCTTTAATAATACTCACTTTAGAATAGACAGAGAATAGACAGTCTAGATTTTTGGGACCCTGGGACCCTTTCAATTGTAGAAGAGACATGACCGGCTCCGATTTAACGCATCAGCTGCGTTCTGCTGTCCCCTCGCAGGCGTACAAGGGATTAATCGACTCGGTACTGCCGACCTTGATCAACAGCATCTCAGACATTGCCAAATCGCTCAGGACGTCACATTATGTCTCCCAGGCGGGCAGCGCGAATGCTTTTGGCGATGATCAATTGAATGTGGACGTATTAGCTGAGAACAGCATCCGAGACGCCATTTCGCGCAGTCCTTTTGTCGTGACCGCCAGCAGCGAGGAGGACCCGGTCGAACGCCAAGTAGTTCAAATCCAGGAAGAAGCCGAGGCCGGCGATATACCCGAGGAGAACTATACGGTTGCGTTTGACCCTCTGGATGGCAGCTCTATAATAGCACCAAATTGGACTGTCGGTACAATCATTGGTGTGTGGCAAGGGAAGACAGCACTCGGCCAACCACCCGCAAGCAAATTGGTGGCCTCTGTGCTCGGCGTCTACGGACCTCGTACTACAGTTATTATTGCCCTGCGCGTCCCGGGCTCCGAACCAGCATGTCTCGAACTGGGAATCGGCGAAAACGGAGTCCGTGATGGTGAAGTCGAAGTCATCCAGTCAGCCGTTCGACTATCAGAGTCGCCTTATAAAACCCGTTACTTCGCCCCCGCAAATCTCCGCGCAGCGGCGGATGACGAGAAGTATGCGCGTCTTATCACGCACTATATCCAGAACAAATACACGCTGCGGTATAGCGGCGGGCTTGTTCCGGACGTAGTCCACGCGCTCGTCAAGGGCCACGGAATTTATATATCGCCCGTGACTTCGACTAGCAAGGCTAAATTGCGACGTCTATATGAACTGTTCCCTCTCGCGCTGATAATCGAGTGTGCTGGCGGGACCGCGATCGACCCGGCTGACGGGACGAACATACTAGAAAGACCTCTAGGGGACCTGAACGAAACTGCCGGACTAATCTGCGGGACGGCCGAGGAGGTAGAATTCGCGAAGAAGATTCTCCTCGACTAACTAATGGCCATTGTTGAAGAATTCAGAAAGCAAGCTGGGCGGACTAACCACGTTGGTTACACATTAGGGGGTCTGATAGAATCTGCGATTTAGATTTAGATAAATACTCTTAGAAACTCAACTAGAGCCATGATAGCCATCGCCTGCCCATACGGCATGCTCGTAATTGGAATATCTTTGTAATGCTGCAACGTGTGACCCATACCCGTACCAAAAGACGTGTTCAGGAGCTCTCCATCGGCATCAACGTTATCCAGCACCGCCCGTATAGCCTTAAGTGCCACGGCTTCGTACTCCTTCCCGATATACTTCTTTCTCTGCGCTTTGAGGATTCCAAAGGCGAATCCCGCCGTCGCGCTCGATTCGACGTAAGAGCCTTCTTCTTCCGGTTGATCGAGAAGCGTGCGCCACAAGCCCGACGACGTCTGCAGCGGCTTGAGGGATTCGCATTGCGCGTTGAGCGTATCTAGAAGGTGGTTTCGGATCGGGTCGTTGGCGGGTAGGTCTAGTAATTCCAAGAATTCGGGGATCACAATCGTCAGCCATGCGTTTCCCCTAGCCCATAAGGCGTTCGCGAAATTGTGGCCACCGTCGTGGAACGTCCAGCCGTGGAAGAATAGCCCGGACTTGGTGTCGAATAGGTACTTTACGTGGATAAGAAATTGCCTCTTCGCTTCGTCGACATAATGAGGCCTGTTAAGTAGCTTTCCAATCTTGGCTAGGGGCATGACGGTCATCATGAGTGTATCATCCCATAGCTGCTGATCGTTCACCTCCAAATATGTAATGTGCTGCATGCCGCCATACTTGGTTCTCTCCAGGTCATGGTATGCCCATTCTCCCCAGCTGTCTAGCCAGGGGAGATAGGTCTGGTTTCCCGTCTTCTCATATACGTAGGCCAGTGTTAGAAATACAGCCATGGTGTTAATGTTCTTAGTGGTTCCCCCGGCTGCGAACCGGTTGGCAAACCAATCTTCGATAATCTTGAGATATTTCTCATCTCCGGTAAGCGAGTAGTAAGCCCAAATTCCATTGAGGCCAATACCATGAGTCCATTCCCAGTCGTTCCATCCTTTCGTGTCGATTACGCGACCATCTTCTAACGTCAACAAGAATTCTCCTGTCTGGTCCTTGATGTTCACCAGCCCGTCGATGAGGAGTTGAATCTTAGCGTGAACATCGCTGGACTTGATCCCGTGGATTTCCGCCGGCATCTTGGGTAAGGCAAATTTCTTAGCTCCCAAGATGTCCGCGACCCGAGAGAATGATCAAGGAGGGGGGTATCTAACCACGTCGATGGATATATCCGAAGTAATAGACAAGGACTGTCTTAATTTTCTTGCTTGATCCCTTGTCTGATATCGTATAGCGAAAAGGGAAGTAAATAGTCTACTTCAATCTAATACTTGATAATGCCTAACGTCCTTTAAGAACAAGACAAGGAGGAAATACGAGGAGTCTTTTCACGAGGAGTCACGAATGGTGCATCTTATGGTGTACTCCACATTGTGTCGTAGCGCCCTGAGCGTCTCCAGCTGTCGGGATATTACTTCGTCGTAATACCCACACCATTTCATGCTAATCTCTAAATCATTCAAGGTCTTATTACTAAAGATCTCATTACTACGTGATGGGAATTGCACCATCCTACCGTTACTATGTATAGTACTGTTCATAAGACGTAACAGACGAAGAACAGCACGGGGATCTTCTAAACCGAAGGAGCACGGTCCTTGGAGTACGCTGCAGCAGCTGATCTTCAATGGGGAATTTGATTCCGATCCTTTTGGACGTCGCAATGGTTTCGGTCTAGCTGGCACCGAAGCTAGCTTGCTGAGGGGAAGACCCCCGGCGGTCGTAAGCTCATCTCTCCCGAAAAAGTTGGAGCTCCGTTCAGAACGGCAGGGTTATTTGCTTTGAGTCAGTCAAGGGTTCGGAAGGACTCCAGAATTTGTTGTCTCTGGGGCTTTATCCCCATCCCCCGGATTTTGGGGAAACTTGCCCCAGCTGATTCCTGGGGAGCCCCAGACTGTCTAGATCCTATTTTTGATAGCCTAGCACTAAACCAGGCGCTATTACCTCGCTGAATATAGTCAAGTAATGATTTCTGAGATGATTCGTTGGAAGTGATATGCCTGCATTATGCCCCCCGTCCTTAGTGCAAATCCGACGAGGTGGTTCTTGGTCCAGAGGATGGTCGGCCATCAACCCCTTGTTGCGTGACTCGCTTGCGATGTCACGGCACCAATACAAGGCAGTCTTTTGCATATTTGCTCGATAGTGTCGGGGTGTTAATAATACGAGACGTGAATGCATAAAAATGCCATCACTCTCTTAACTCAAACTCTTGCCCTCATCTCCCTTTTTTTTTATCTCTATAGGTAGACCTTTCCGTGTGGTGCATCTCTACAGTCGTCGAGACTCACTAAACATCACAACTGCGGAGAACATCGCTCCGAACGCACCGGATAAGGATGTCGTCTACGGAGGTTCCCGACCCTGAGATGGTCCGACCCATATCGTCTCACCATGACGATGCCTCGAAGAGATATTCGATGGCGGAGGTAGAGCAAGCACAGTCGGCGCCCGAAGACATCGAGGGTAAGGGAGTTCATGCAGACTACGACAAAGTCGACAAGGAAGTCGCCAAATATTCATCGGCTATCCGTATTAAAATAACACCCGAGGAGAACATCAGACTGCGGAAAATGATCGACAAGAGAATCTTGGTCGTAATGATCACGACATATTTCCTCCAGGCTATCGACAAAGGCACACTATCCTTTTCTTCGATCATGGGCCTGCCGAAAGACACCGGTATGCTTACCCCCGAGGGAAAAGTTAGCCAGGACTTTTCTTGGTTGACTACGTGTATCTACATAACCATCCTCGTCGTTGAGTACCCGCAGGTAAGGCCCGCTATTGTTATCCTCAACCCTCTGAATTAGTTGCAGGAGCCAGAGAGATATACTGACAGCAAAACTATTGTAGAATTATATCATCGCCCGAGTTCCCGTCGCCAAGTACCTTGGTTTTTCTATCATTGCGTGGGGTGCCGTTTTGGCTTGCCATGCTGCATGCGAAAATTTCGTCGGGTTGGTAGTCGTCCGCACGCTCCTGGGGCTGTTCGAGTCGGCTTGCCAGCCTGCTTTTGTGATCCTCTCCGCCATGTGGTATAGACGCGAAGAACAAGCCTCGAGGGTTACCTACTGGTATATGATGAACGGTGCGCAGCAGATTGTCGGCGGACTCCTCGCCTACTGCTTCACTTTGATCACGGACGGCCCCCTCAGATCGTGGCAGTGGCTGTTCATGGCTTACGGTATCATCTCCGTCATCTTCGGCGTTTTCGTCCTTTGGTGGATGCCTGATTCCCCGATGCGTGCCAAGTGCTTTAGTGAAGAGGATAAGCATCTAATGGTTGAAAGAGTTCGAGATAATCAGACCGGGCTACAGAACCGAACTTTCAAAAAGGAACAGGTCTGGGACGCGTTGACTGACCCCCAGACGTGGTGCTACGCCGGAATTCAGTTCACCACAACTCTACCAACTAGCGGCCTCGGCGCCTTTGCGAATTTGATTATCTCTGGGAGTCTAGGATTTAGCAACCTTCAGACGCAGCTTCTGGCCATGGTTCTTGGTTTTTATATTATTATGGTGCTCCTAGGGTCGGTTTGGCTGGTGAAGAAGTTCAACCAGAATATCTTGACTATGCTGGGCTTCGTTATTCCGTAAGCATCATGATCCCTGTTTCATTTAGTACCTATCTAAGGATGTGACCACGACTAACACGACTCATCTAGATCATTCGTGGGTACCGTTTTGCTTATGACCGTACCTAACGAGACCTTCGCGCAGCACGTGGGACTGCTCATATCCTACTACATCACTCTGTCTTTCTGGGCAGCGCAAACCTTGGGTCTCTCCCTGATGTCTCGTAATGTCGGAGGCCAGACCAAGAAGACTGTTGTAGTAGCTATGAATTTCATCTTCTGGTCGGCAGGTAATGCTATCGGCCCTCAAGTGTTCCTTTCACGCGAAGCACCCAAGTACCATACAGCGTTTGCAACTCATCTTGCTTGCTATGCTCTTCTTGTTATTATCCTCCTGTTCTTCCGCTTCTATCTGTCAAGGCAGAACAAGAAGCGGGATGAACTAGCTGCGGCTGGTGTTAGCGAGGCTCATGACGAGAGGATGGCTCACGCTTTTGAAGACCTGACGGATAGGGAGAACCCCAATTTTAGATACGAATATTAGAGTATTGCATGTCTGGTGTTTAAGAAAAGGGGGGTCATCTTAGTTCGATATGGTAAGGAGGGTGAATATTGTAAATACATATCTAATGACGTTTTGAATCTATCGAGTACCTAAAAACATGATGTATTACCTTAGGTGGTATCTAATGTATGCCGCATATAATAAATTAGGCACTTAAGGTATCAAGTCTTATATATTTTATTAGTACTGCCACAATTTTTTCAACGAATCAGATGCTTAGAATCGCCCCGCAGTTTGCGACTTTTCCCTTTGCCATTCTATCGCATAACGTCTGCACGAGGTGCAAATGGTATAGAAAGGTCATGCAAAACGAGCTCTATCCAACGATACCAATTATTAAATATTTTACCCAAAAGTGAAGCAATTCAATTGATTCTACAAAAAATTCATCGGACGTGCGCTGAGGTGTGGCTAGCCAATCAGATGCCAGACTTTAGCTGTGGCGTCAGTTTTGCGCATAATCCCCCCCTTCTCCCCCGTCCGCGGTTGCGCGGACGGGCAACGCCGCTAGTTAGCTGACGTTATCTTAGGTGCTAAATTTTACCTAAGATTGGACACCTGGAGTAACGCCTCAGGCAGGAACCGTAGGTGCAATATCTGGGTTAGGTACCTGCCTATATGAGGTACAATACATATGAGATAGATGCTACTGCCTTTTTCATGATGCATTCCATCCATGTGCAACATATGTTATGTTAGGTACCTTTATACGTACCTTTGAACGAGGGCGTACCTACCTTCCCCAACGTAGGTGATACCGTACATAGGTACCCAAGTACATAATAGAGTGCGCTAATGTAACCCACACCCACCTTTACCGATTTTGGGATTTTCCAGCCTTAGCAACTTTTGTTGAAGCTTCAACTCTCAATTTCGATAGCTCCCGTCTTCGCAGCCTTCTAGCCTTACAACCCTCTACTGATTGATCCTTTTGCCATTTATCCTAAGATACTCAATTGGTTCTAGTTGGCTACTAATTCCTCCGTCTACATCGAATATAATCCTTCAACATGGATTCTCGATCTCCTTCGCGAGATCGTTACGAGTCGCGTTCCCCGACCCCCAAGTCGCGTTATTCTCGATCGCCTTCGCCAGTTCGACGACGTCGTTCCCCTACTAAATCGCCATCCCCTGCTCCCCGTCGCAACGGCAGGCTCCGCAGCGAGAGCAGAAGCCCAAGTCGTGATCGTGATGACCGGGGTAGAAGTGAGAGTCCGCTTAGGGGCAGTACTAAGGTCAGTCGGTTTGCTCTAAATATATCTTGCTATATCCCCATCATCGCATGATTTATACCAATCCTTACCCCGAAATATCATACTAATTATAATCTTGAATTTAGATCGTCGTCGAAAAACTGACAAAAACTATCAATGAGGATCACTTGCACGAGATCTTTGGCCAGTACGGCCCTATCAGAGACCTAGATATGCCTATGAACCGACAGTGTGAGTGGATTCGTGCGCATCACCTTTCTTGTAGCGAGCTTGTATGGCTAAACCTTTTATAGACAATACCAATCGTGGTACAGCGTACATCCTCTACGTCCACGAGGCCGATGCCGAAGCGGCTATTGCTCACATGCATGAAGCTGTCCTCGATGGAGCGGTTATCAATGTTTCTATTGTTCTACCCCGACGCAAATTCTCGCCTTCTCCCCCGACTGCAAGCCGCGGCGCAAACATCGACCCTCGACTCCCGGCGCCCGGTCCTAGAGGCTCTGCTAGAGCTGGAGGCGGAAGAGGGGCTGGATTCGGCGGAGGAAGACCACCACGCTCGCCGCCACGCTTTGGTCGTTCCGGTCGTGATAACTTTGACACTTACCGACCGCGATCATACTCGAGATCCCGATCTCCGCCTACGCGCCGTAACCGTAGTCCTTCGGGTTCTTACGCATCTAGGTCTCGGTCTCCTCCGAGAAGACGGGGCGGAAAGAGAGAGAGCTACAATGACTACGATAATGATCGACGACGTAGTCCTAGCTATGATAGCTTCCGAGGCCGCAGTCGTTCGCGCAGTCGTGGTAGGGGATACCGCTAATCCAAAGAACTAATCTTTTTTTTTTCTCTTTGCATGCGGATGGGCGTTTGGCAGGAAATAAGGAATACCGGATCATGACAAGGAATTCTTCATGAGGTTGAGATTACGAATTTGAATTTGGTAGCAGTACATTTGTTCATTTTCCATCAAGCTTCCTTACGTCGGCTGCTTATGGTCCTTCTAGGCTATCGCGTCTTATAACATTCACGGCCATGATACCATTGCACGTTACATACCTAATATAACTCGTCTAGTAGCACGTTCTTAATAATAACCAGATCGTCCCAACAATCCCCCAGCTGCGTCGTCGAGAGGTTTTCCCGATAGCTTGTTTCTCTAATTGTTGATACTAGTATTAATTTATAGTGATTTATCATCACATTTCACTTTTCTACGTTGGTTTCGGCGTTTAGCGCTCCTTCGTGGATTCGAATCTGGCTCTGAACCTGGCTCTTTTTTGCGGATCCCCTCTATGTTGGTTGTTGGTTTGATCGGTAAGCTATACAGAACCATTCGTTGCTGATTAATTTTCTATATTTGTCATCTATGTTATTCCTCAAACTGAAGCTAATTGATTCAGCTAACCAACATGCATTCCGTGCTTTGGGAGTGTTAGGTATATAAAGTGCCATCTCTATTCTGTCAATTGAGTGTCTGAGCCTGGCTAAGTTAAGCAACTCTACGAAACCAACCTAAGGTATACATCTCGGACACCAAAACTCTTAAATCAAACACGATTCGATCCAACTTATACAATTTATTTTCAACCTCAGTTCTATTAAAAAAGAATTTACACAATGTCTTCGCCAATCCAGCTATCCGCCCCCAATCGCATTACTGCTTCCAACCTCCCTCTTCGAGAGACCAACTCCTCGAAGCCGCACTCGGAACCCGCAGTAGAAGTTCGCGTTGATAAACTCGAAGTGGAACCTATTATGGGAGGCGGGTTAAGAAGGGCTAGAGTGGCATCTAGCACGAAACTGCCAACTAGCAATGACGGACAGTGGGTCTCGCTCTATATTTCCCTTTCCTTATAACGATGCGGTCCTCTCGATCCCATCCTGCGAGGGCTCGCGGCATCACAGGCAACAGAACAGACTGAGCTGACGAACGATCAAGTGGTGATTTGGAATTAGACCCTGTGCCGGGACTCGGAATCGTGCGTATGTATTCCCTCCCCCCTTTATCCCTCTTATCCCACTCTCCCAGTTTTAAGCGGAAGCTGCCTATTCCGGCATGTCTAGAAGCTGTCATCATCTATGATAGGTTCTATGATAGGTCTTCGGAGTCAAACTCCAAACTCCACTTCTGACAATTCCCACAAATAGCAACTGCTGACCTGACGCGTTTCTTCTAGTTCCGGGTGGTCTTAATATGTACTACCTAGACATTGCCCCCAATACAGAGGGCGCGGTGCACCGTACGACATCTACGGATTATCTTGTCGTGTTGAGTGGGACTTTAAGCCTCATTACTCCCCCTGACTCATTTGATGTGGTCAACGGGCGTGGTACGTACGGCAAGCTCGTCGAAACCCAGTGCAAGCCAGGTGATGTCGTGCTTCAGCGCGGAATAATGCATGCGTAAGTTATATCCCGAGAGGCAACCCGTCCGGCCCCCTCTATCATTTTGCGAGCTTCGGCGTCTATACCAATAAGAGACGGGGTCTGACATATGATATAATATAGCCTATCGAACCGTACCAACGAATGGGTCCGTCTCATCGCCATGGTCGTGGCTTCGGAACCCAACCGTGTGTCGACCGTGGAATCGGGTCACGGGGACCAGCCAAAGACGGTAGTCTTAAATGACGAATGGCTTCAGTAGGCCAATCGGGGTGTGATCGGCCGGCGGGTGGACGGCGCGGCTACGGTAGCCATTGTATTTCTCACTCATCTCTGGGTCATTTCGCGTGATGGTGTAACCAAGATGCCACCAACTCGCGCACCTTTTCTCGGTTATATGAGGCTCGAAGGCTATAGGGCGTCCAATCACCAAAGGAGACCCTTCCTAGGCTACCATGAGCCGCATCGTCGACTGCCGGTGTTACCATATATGATCCTCTTAGGTCGCTTATTTTCGTTCGTTCTCGTTTTGGTGGTTACATAGAAGTTAGATTGATAGCCTTATTGGAATCGTTTGCGGCTGAGGCCTCCGCCGCAGAGCTTGATATTCCCATTGTCCGCCCAACGCCGAGTGCATTACGTATAGCCAAAAGACTACCAAGTCTATTCGTACTACCTACGTGTTCAAATTAGGTGACACTATACCTAATATCCCGTCTTGCGATTGTGAGCTTGAGCTGACTTGCTTGGCCACGGGACGCCTAATTCGTATACAACTTTCGAATATAGCCGGATCTGCGCCAACCAAGACCAAGTATGCCTAACTCCTCAAGAAATATACTGCGAGGGGACATGGCGAAGATCGCGGCGTGTCCACGGAGTCGCTATTCCGCAAGTTACGAAATATATGCACGCTTTGTACCAGGCTCGCCCTCTAGAGTATGCTATGAAGACTTGGTTCTTCTTGAGACTTAGAGAGATCGTCTAAGAGAGGCCTAGTTGCGAGCCGCAAATAATAAAGGCACAGGACTGACTCTACGTCGCAAATTGAGTCCTTGGGTGTATGAAGCTTATGGTGGAGAAGACCACAAATGACAACATGGTGGTCTGCTCCTTAGTATGGCAGACAGGGTAGCCTATTTTATGCTCACAGGACTGTTCACGAGAGCTTCTTTCGGTACTGTTGCTGAGCAGTGGGATCATGAGAAATCCGTTGCGGTACGTCCCGACCCGTCACCTAACCTACATCCTTTGCTTCCTTTTGCCGTGCCCCTATTCCTCCTCTACCAGAAAATACGCTTGCTGTAAGTCAGGAGAAAACTATAAAATGGCCACCTGGAAGCACATTCGAGTACAACTCTCTCATCACCATCACGGCGACTTCAGCTCTAAGACTCAGACGCATCAAACGTGACTAATTTACAAAACTCACGCGGAGAATATTCAAAGATGCCACAGCTTACTGTGATAGTTCCCCCTAGCCCAGGGCCAATATCGGTCCTATCACCAAAGGATAACGACAAGGGGATACTCTACCACGCCAGATTCAACTCGGCAGCGTACTCTATGGAAGTCCCCGGGAAGATATCATTCCCAGATCCGCCGCGTCCCCCAACTCCAGGGCCGCCTCGGCCACCCCCAATCCCTCCCCGTCCACCGGTACCGACACCGCCACCCAGTCCACATTCTTCAGTGGAGAAGGAGTGGCTACAGAAACTCGTGGCAGAGAATATCTCTATCCTTGCCGTTCGGGTTATGAATGTCTGGTTCGCCGCACGCGAGCCGGTTTCATTTCCCCACCCCCCTCGCCCACCTACTCCGGGCCCTAGGTCAGTATTAATGATCCTTTTTTAACCCTCCGGAGTGTGGTCACTTTGAAACATGGCTGTAGCAGTAACGCACCTCTGCGGAACGTCTGCTCTCTCTCACCAGGAGTTATCGAACTGAGTGAATCATAGCTAACCGTGTATACCGTATTAGACCAGGACCGATCAACCCCCCGCCTAACGTGCCTACGCCGCCACCTAGTCCACGCAGGTCCGCAAAGAGCGTAGATCATGCAGTAATGGCCAAAAAGAATTACGCTCTCGGAACCGGCGGTCTCGATACGATTCTATCGAGACAGCTATTCTATGAATATCTGGCCCTCAAGCTCAATATCTTATACACAGCAGATACCCCATCATACGACCCCTACGAAGGGAAAGGCTTGAACATGCGGGAAGCAAAATACGAAGATAAGCTTACCGATGATCCAGATCGGGATGAAACGAGACTGCATACTCTCATATATGTCCCAAAGAGTGTATCAAGACCCCACATGTCTCATCTCGATTCCTGCAGAGAGAACGAGCCAGAGACTCTAATTCAAGCACTACGCGCCAGTGCCGGAATTGTCAGGCACCTCCTAAACCCTTCCAACTTGTCAGGTATAGGGGAGTCTGGAAGGACCTTCGATGATCTGGCTGTCACCACTCACAGCTCACCTGCAGTTTCGGGCATATACTCCCAGCCGACGCCATCAATAATAACGGCCGTATAAGCACGCATTCAGCACCAGCCTAGCCGGCGGGGATACTTGGCGAACTTCGAGCTTATAGGTACGCGCCACCTTGGCGAGGCGGGCCGGAATTCAAAAGCTTTCCTACACGTCGGACCCGTCGGATAGGGACTGCGGACTTAGGCGGCTCGCAAAAAAAGAAAAAAAAAAGAAAAAAAGTCGACAGGGCTTCTTTGACAGCATGCGATTACCTACCTAAAGCCATGCAGCAGTGCAACGCTGACGCGCAGGTTGCACGGCATAGGGCAGTGTCCCTAGGGCTGGTACCTTGCGAATTACGATTCAACGATGGAATCTTTCTTTATACCTTTCTCCTTTAACCCCCCCTCCCCCCCATTTTCTCTCTCTACTATTAGATTTCATGGGTATTATTTCTGTTTCATCTATCCACATTCGTTTATTAACATGGGGTTCGTCATCGTCATCATCATCCAGCTGGCGTGGTGGCGGATTTCCCCCCTCTTTCCTTTTTCTTTTTTTCACGTTTTTGCTTTTTATATTTATTTTTATACTCTTCCCGTTGTTTAGATTTCATTTTCGGTTAGACGGGAGTCTCATTGGTCGGTTGTTATAGAATACCTAGACTTACTAGATCGAGCAGCATCCTTCCTCGCGGAAGTAGTATTCCCCTATTCTCGGGTGGGGTCTGGCAAAAGACGGGAGGGAGCGGAAAACGGTGTCATTGGTGGTGTACGATGGGATCGTATTCCTCTCGAATTTCGGCAATTATGAAGGCTCTCTCTCTTTTCTTTTTTGTTCTATCACCACTTACGACATGCTCGCGCAGGACGCATGCAGAATGGCCAGGGGTTCAAATTTCCAATAGGTAGGGCTATAAGGTCAGAGGCATCCAAGTCAGGGGATGTACAACATCACTCGTTCTTGTTTTACCCAGTCTCATTTTGTTTTTCTGTATGGGTCCGTGGGGGCTGTCGATCTTTTTAGCCATGATGAAGAAACTCAACCAATCGTTCGTCTTATAGATGTTATACATAGATGCAATAGCTAGATCTGAATAAGACTTCCGTATCTATCATATAGGTTACACATCAACTTTCAAATATGACTTGTCAAAATGCATTCCTTCTTGTCCTATGTTCGATTGCTTTTACTATAAGTAGTAGAGTGTCCTCGGTTTTCGGTCCCGTACCCGTTCCGAAAAGGTGAACGAGTCTATATTCAACTACATTTAGCCCACTTTAGCTGTCATGTAAATCATCTCCTCCCCCTCTCCGCCTCCCTTTCACTGCCACTTGTCACTTAACATTGTGGGTCTTTATAAGTCGTCGTTAATATGAAACTCTTACGTACTACTCAATTACTATTTGCTATTTGCTATTTACAGTCTCGAGGGAAACTTGACATACCATACCCACGTCTAAATCAATCGGATCAACTCCACATGATATCAACGTGAATATCATGATAAATCTCCGGCCCCAGATCCAACTAAGTGCCGTAGGCAGACCCGTGCACCTCGCCCCCATGCTACCATGTCAGCCTCCTCTAGTGTAAAAGCTTGACTTCGCCGATCACCACATACCCATAATCCTATACGCTTATCATGCTTTAACCCCGGCTATCTCTATCCGCATCCGATACGATATTACGAGACAGAGACAGACAATTCTAATACTAGACAGCCTCATTGTATATAAGATCAGCGCCTCTTAGTTGTTGGATTACCTCGTGTTTCTATATCGAGCCTTGGTACCGCCATTGGCGTTCCACGGTAATGGCGTCTATCTTGTCCCCGAAAAGCTATCGGCGATAAAATATAGCTGATCATATCTATTCCATCGTTGAAGATAATGCCAAGCTCCTGACACCATCTGCGCCTCGTTGGATGTTCTCTGAATTAAAAGCGCTGTTTCAGGAACAGCTGGCGTTATCTATGTCTTAGTATACTCGACGACTACGGCTAGGCTCTCATTACGTGCAGCCAGAAAGTGGGCGGAATGAAGGGACATTTGAAGGAATAAGATTCAAATCAAGTATCCGAAGGGCACGCGCCGGCTCCTTCATTAAACTCAGATGGCTATCCATCTGCCCATAACTCACATTACAACCGACTACTAGGTAGCTGGACACCTCTCAAACACTTACCCTGGCAGGTCTTGTGGACAATTAAGGGAACTAGATGGGTATCCCATTTTAGCACCGCTGACGGGAACCAAGCGAGGATGCTGTCGACGACTTTAACTCCGTACCGTTACGTGGACGCCATCTCCCAGCTTCCTCGGCTTAGTATGCCATTAGGCGTCTCCCGCCTACCTATCAGGTGATATCATTTCTGCACGGCTTTTGGTATCAACTTTCGAGGCTTTCTATTTTTGGCTGTCTTCAGCGCCGAGGTAAGGAGATGATCCGCGTCGATATTCGTAATGGCGTATGCCTCGTGATAGGATTCGTGGTTGTTATTCGTTAACCTTTGAAGCTACCTAGATTACTTTGGCGGCATGGCCTACACTGTATATACACCCAAAGCTTTTAGTTAAACTAATGTTGTTTCTATTTGCGACCACCATGTAATCCTGCGATCCTAGCCACACGTGTCAAGTAGGCATCCTATATATGAGTTATAAAGAACCGAAGAAGATATCACGATGAGGTGATACTGGCAGGTCCTATTATATTTAACTATGTGCGTGGCATATAGAAAACGGCGAATGGGCGTTGCTTGCTTATATGTACGATAGTATCTATAAACATCTCTAGAAGTTATCCACGTCTCACCTTTTGTGAATGGAAGCACTGCCAGGATTCTAGACGACACAACTAGGGGATGGGTCACTTTAGGTATATATAGCTACGCGTTCCTATAACTTAGATTAAACTTTCTTAAGGAATAACGAAGTTATTTCACGTTTTTTGTATTCACTTGCGATATGGAGTATAATAATTATCTGCCAATTATAACTTCATATAATTATAATGGTATTAAGAATTTAAGATCTAGTTATACTATTCTACTACTATTGTCACGAGACCAAAACGTCAGTAAAGAAGACGATGGAATCCAGAACATCAAGAGCCTTGCAGCTTGCTGCAAGACCTAAATATATACACATCTGAGATACCTGACTCAGGGACTGAGTCATATAAGTGTCTGGTGGAGCCAGACAACTACGTAACTCCTGGCCGTGACAACTATAGACTTGAACCTATGGGTGGAGACCAACATAACTGGCTAGCACCTACAGCGGGTTAGGTACACATAACGAAGTTAAGACCTTACTTAACCTTGCTATTCAGGGCAATGCCAATTTGCCATCATAGCTAGATGTTATATTGTTACTGTATAATTGAAATTTATGCTAGCTAGAGTACCTAAGCACGGTACGCAATGGGTTTCAATTCCACTAAAAAGATAGCGTATCCCGTTGTTCACGATATTACCCCATCTCCCATGATGTCGAAGATTTACTTACACATATATCCCTGTTTGAAATCGTGAATTGTTTAATTGATTTGGTTGGAAAGCGTTGTTCTTTGTAGCGGAGCGGAGCGTAAACTTAGCAAGTGAGAAACGAATTCAAAATAATATTTTTTGATGGTTATCATACACATGTGTACTCCTCTATAAGACTATTCAGGGTAAGGTCACGGGGATGGTGGCTAATTCCTATTACAGCATACCGTATGAATGCCCTTTCTTTTCTCGTCAAGAAGGTAGCATATAAGAGTATATTTCATAGAACAACAGCAGATAACTACCTATAATATCATTGCTGGGTTTAATGACGCTCATTTGAAAAAGGTTATACATACCTTATTACATAATGCGTACCTAAAGTTACGAGTAACTTAACCTTAGGTAGTAGATCTTGATGCGCATACGCTAGATTTAACCTTAATTTTTGCTTTTGCTAGATAACTTTAGATAAGTTCCCGTTTCCTAAATTTAGCAGCCTTGCGAATCTTCTACTTGACATACTATGTAATTAAGGTACCTATTTAATTTGTCCCTTCGCATTTTGGATGAATCTAATACTTAGCTATTTTCCATGGATCCCTCACCGGTACGGATTAAGATGGGCGATAAGGGACCGTACTACTATAGTCAGAAGCTTGGCCTGACGTAAATGGCTTGAACTCGGATAAGTGCATGTTGGTGCGGTACTACGTATAGAAGAAGTCTGGCCATCAATAATTTATCAGCTGGGCGGTACCATCGATGCATGCGTCAATATTCTTTCGTCCACTCTTTAATCTATCAATAGCTAGAATGTAACCATGCCTCCCTCGAACCTTAGCCAGCCACCGTATTATTTAGGGCTTTCATTAATCGTATCCCATCCCATCCCGCGACTATCAAGCACCCATGCATGCATGCAGAAGCATACCCGCTTCCCTCTTGGAGTCTAGCTTCGCTATTATTAACCGGGCCATCACCAGTACAATCCCGGTAGTAGGTAAACGCCACTTTCAATATCGGGGATTTAGCTCCCCTCGATGGTAAATGTTTAGCAGGTAACTCTTTTGAGCTGGTGTTCGCGTCTTACGCCTAACGCATCTCCCTCCCCCACTCTATAGGCAAGACCCTTCTCTACTCACTTCCAGAGCTTCAAGGGGTGAAAGTGAACTTTATTGGTTGTAGCCGGTGAAGGGGATACACCTGCATTTCTAGACGTGCCCATACGGAATATGAAGTAACTATTACGAACAACCTGTGTAATGTAGTAGCACCTACCTATTGCTTACATGTAGGCACAATGACCGTCCGAGATAAGGTACAGCACGTAGATATGTATGTATGTATGTATGTATAGCTGACTTAACCTAGTTAATATATGTTGTATCATGTAACTATACATCGTGTTCTGTTCGCTCATAAATACCTACTAGGAGGTAGTCTTCTATCAGCATTCCAGAATATATTTGGCTCTGACCGCAGTCTACCTCCTCTCCCTATTATACCATTTACTCATTTTGCACCTAAGTTTTCTTTTGCTCTCAAGTCCATATTTGATATCACTTGA